TAATATAGAATTTAAGTTTTTCTCATTTCAATAAACTCATTCTGAGTAAGTTTCAATTACATCAAAAATATTAAATATTAAATATTAAAAATAATACTACAGCAAATTTGCATTATTCACAAAATTTACGAGATAAACAAATCATAGATTTTTCCTCATGCAGTGTTTCTAAAGTTGCAACCTCAAATCATTGAGAATTTTGTCAATTATTTCATGAAAATCGGGCCCAAATTTTGTGTGGGCCCTCTCGTGACTCTGGGAAAGGTTTATGAATGATCAAAATTTCAAAAATTAACCATAAACAAAATTCGATTTACATTAAATTTGTAAGTTCCACGATTTTTTTTAAAAATCCGCATACTTGTTTTTGTTTTTGTTTTACAATGTATGCAAAGTGAATTTTCTAAATTGAAATAGAAGATGGGTACGAAGGGACCTGAGAGACTAGTATATAGAAGATGGGTACGAAGGGACCTGAGAGACTAGTATATAATAGAAGATGGGTACTAAGGGACCTGAGAGACTAGTATATAATAGAAGATGGGTACGAAGGAACCTGAGAGACTAGTATATAATAGAAGATGGGTACGAAGGGACCTGAGAGACTAGTATATAATAGAAGATGGGTACGAAGGGACCTGAGAGACTAGTATATAGAAGATGGGTACGAAGGGACCTGAGAAACTAGTATATAATAGAAGATGGGTACGAAAGGACCTGAGAGACTAGTATATAGAAGATGGGTACGAAGGGACCTGAGAGACTAGTATATAATAGAAGATGGGTACGAAGGAACCTGAGAGACTAGTATATATTTCGACATTGTTTTCTTTCTTGCATTTTGAAGTAAATACTTTTTAAAGAAAAGAAAAAATCTGAAAAAGTTTGAAAATTTTAAAATATAAAAATTTAAAAAATTGATAAAGTAAAGAAATCTTCCGAGTTTGATCTGAGCATTTTTATGAAAAAAGTCCACTACACAGTTGCAATGGTAAAGAATTCATTTAAAGAACTTTTTGAGGAATGGAAATTGATTTTAGGGTTTAATTTTTCAAATGTATTATTGTGCATCATATTATAAAGTAATAAATTTCTGACTCTTTTGTTATAGAATTTAGTGTAGAAAATACGGAACCAATCTTGGTAACAAACCTAAAAATTAATCGTGGGGAACCAAAGTATGGCAAACAAAGTTTAAAACATGCCAAGCTTGACGCTCGTTTTTTTCTATCTAGAGACTGGGAACAGAGGCGTCTGCAGGAGTATTTAATAAAATGGGGGAGGGGGACAAAACTGCTTCAAATTAAGGTTTAGCTCTAGAAGTTTAAATTGTAAAGATATGGGATTCAATCAGAGACACAATATTTTTTTATTTTATAGTTTTAAAAGGGGAAGGGGGGGCTACATTATTTTTTGGGGGAGTCCGAGGTGGGGATTGGACCCCCCCCCCCCCACCTTGAAAAAACCCTTGCATGGAAACCCATTTGGTACGAAACAGTGATAAATCATTTTAAAAAAACATTTTCGGCGAAACGAATGAAAAAAAACAAGAATAAAGAAATATATTTTACAGTGGGCCCTCAAAACTCTCGATTAAAAAGACGACAATTCAGCACTCTTTGATGTTGTTAAAATTTAAAAGCAAAAAATCAACTTTAAGTGATTTATTTGGATCAGAGTACAAAGTATCTGTACAATTACTGAGTTTCGTGTAACATTGCAATACTTCAGATTATAATTTGAGTCTAACAGTCGTCTTCCATGTCCACCATCTCATCTCTGGTTATAAACTTGGGACTTGGAACTGTAAATCTAATTTGTAGAATGCACAAAATAAAGAATCAAATTGTATGTTTCTATTCCCAATACAGCTATTCTGTACCTTCCATTACCCCCCCCCAACCTTTCCTCCCTTTCACTCAAACCACCCACTCCCTTCCCTCCTCTAGCAAAAAAAAATTAACAATCTAATTAACAAATTCAAATTATCAGTGTTTGTATTTACAAACGTAAATTACAATCCTGGGACACTCATTTGGGGGAGTTAAAATGTCCCCTTTCAGAGGTCTTGTATATTGCAAATATTAAGATCAATGATTTATCTCAATCAGTTGTTAATCTACAGATACATTTAATCTTTATTCCAATTCTAATCTCCAGCATTCCTTCTGTAGTATAATTAGTTACAATTGTACAGTTCACATTTTGGTAAAAGTCAAAAGTGCCCACTGTGGATATCGTGATTATGGTTTCCAACACACTAGTTCTCAAATCTATCTTTCTACAATATCTTTCTACAAGATCTTTCTACAATATCTTTCTACAATATCTTTCTACAATATCTTTCTACAATATCTTTCTATCCCCACCAAATACTAAAGTAGGCCAAACTGATAGTCGGATGAGGACATTTTATATTCCTAGTATTTTAGTACAGTACTAAATTAACTAGACTCAATAACCTTTATTATGGCCCTTAAGTGAAATTACAAAACCAAAAAAGGCAATGTTAAAACACAAAAGTACAAAAACTTTAATGAACAGTGCCTAATATGTATTAGTGTAATATGCCTGATATGTATTATGCATAATTGTTAACCGAAGAATGTATGATTTATTGTGATACAAAAAAGCGAAGCTGTTAGAGATTAGCCTCAGATGATTAGATCCAGAATCTGCATGAAAAGGAATTATAAATGTGATTTTAGTGACCGGCCATTAACAGCAGTTTTCTAAATTAGACCTATCTTAGATGAAGAAAATTTGAAACAAAAATCTGTACGTTCATCAAAAATGAAATAGATATATATTTACATCTAATGCTTTTTTTGTAGTTCAAATCCTTCTTTATGTATTTGTTGTTGTTGTGAAAAAAGACTTGAATGTGTTAAGTTTTTACGAAACCAAGCTAAGTCTTTTGAAGTTGCCAGTTGAATTCCAGAAGCAAAATATGTTGGGTTGGAGCTTTTTGAAGTGAGTTAACCCTATCTCTGCTGGGGTACTTGAAAACCAGGATATGCTGGGGGGGGGGGTCAATTTGACCCCCCCCCTCTAAATCCCATGTTTGATGTCCAAATATGACAAATGATACATCATTGGAAAGCTCTTGTGCTCTGCTTTTAGAATCTGCAAAAAAAATTGCAAATTTGCAAAAATTGAATTTTTTATCGCAAAATCCAGTTATATAGTAAAAATGTTTGTAAAAAAAATTTTTCCAAAAAATGAAAAATTATACATTTTTGAAAAGCCCTTGACCATGCCATTTCAAATATGCAAAAATTTTTGCAAAATTTTAAATAACCTGAATTTTAATCAAGAAAAACTAAAAATTTGCAAATTTCCTTTGACAGGTTGTTTGCAAAGAATTTGCAATTTTTTTCGCAAAACTTGTGCAATTCGTTTCCTTATGTCAAAGACTTTCCAAAAAGCTAAATTTTATCAAAATCTGACAAGTGGAAGTGGGTCAAAACAAAGATTTAGTTTGTTACAGGAAAAAACAGTCATTCAGGCAGTGTTCCTGAGGACTCAGGCAGTTAGTATTAAAGCCCGGTTTTAGGCCTAAAGGGAGGGCTTTGGGTATGTAGGAAAAGTCAGAAAATTTCATCAGCCTCAGACCAATACTTTTTGAGTTATGTAAAAAAAACTACAGGGGGGGTCAAATTGACCCCCCCCCCCAGCAGGAATAGGGTTAAAAGATATCAAACTAGTTCGTAACATCATGGTAATATAAGATCAAACTTCAGTGCATATCATATGAGGGAGGGAACCCCCGGACGCCATAAGCCCCTGCTATGCAGACACGAGCTTCCCAGATTTGCTAGACAGACCGAGCCTCCACTATGTAGACCAAGCTCTGCTATGCAGACCGTGCCTACACGCTACGCAGTGAACGAGCCTCCGCCATGGCCCATAAAAGCACAGCTTTTATTAAATCTTGGTTTTTATGTGTAATAAAAAATGTTAACAATTTTTTTTTGGCGTAGTGGCATAAGAATTTTACTAAAGATTAGATATATTTATTGATTGTCATGATTAAAAATGTCTCTCACGCTGGTTAGTCTGGGGTGTAGCAGAGCTCATGTCGTCCGGGAGTTCCCTCCCTAATCATATAACGTTTAATGAGACTTTTTTTCCAATCCGTTTCATTTCAAGTATTTGTAACGACGACATTAATTATAGTTCTAAACTATTTCTAGTGATTACATTATAAATTTGGCCCCGAAACAATAATTTGAAAATTTTACCAAACAAAATAATTGCGTTGGGTCAATCTAGTTGTCGTTATTCTGTCTGTTCCATTTTAGTATTTTATCACTTTGCCCCCACCCCCCAGGATATCCAATAATCCCCCCTTGGATATCCAATAATCCCCCTCCCTAGTATATCCAATAATCCCCCCTCTAGGATATCCAAAAATCCCCCCCTAGGATATCCAATAATACCGCCTCCCTAGGATATCCAATAATCCCACAAAAGAGAAGAATACAAAAGCTTTACAGTATAGTGCTAAAACCATAACGCTGTAGAATATAAACTTAAATCAAATTAATAGTTTAATGAACATAAACAGTAACTATGCAATGTACACAGACCCATTTTACTAAATTGTTTTTTTTCAAACTAAACGGTTAAACTTCTTATAATAACAACATTATCCATATAAAATTGTTTAAATGGAATCTCCTTCTCCCACAGTTTTATGGGTCACACTGTATTCACATAGATTCAGCCTCCTTATAAACAGTCTCATCAATTTTTAAGACTGGGTTGACTTTGAAGTGTCACAACGCCCTAAGCTTAGATTTTTCCGCTCTAACTCACTTATGCTTTTCTGTAGCCCTTTACATGTACATTTTAGCACTGTAAAGCACTTCTTGTTAGATTTGGTTTTTTAGAAGTAATTGGCAAAATTCTCAACGATTTTTGCTTGAGAGCGTGAGACCATTAAATCGCAGTGTATTTCATGCAGAAAAATACTTATTATAAAAAAAACTAAAAACCTGGTTTGTCAGCTCTTACTTCCAGCCCTACCCTGCGTTGAAAACCAACTATACGGCTTCTACTCAAGAGTCGAGGTTTTCCCCAGAAAAGCCTCGAGAAATTCCCGGGACAGAGAACGTTATGTGAACGTATTCGCCTGAGGTTAGAGCCCTTCCGCCCGGATAGTTTTCCCGGGGTTTTCATGAGAGAACTGGTTGAAACAGGCAATAACAATTATCCACAAGGTGTTCCGCGATTATACAAAACATTTTCCACCTTAGAAATTATTTGCTGGGAAGCACTATTATAGCGCAGTAGTTTAGTCTGAATGGTGGTATTCCCTCCTATATGAATATTAAGATGTAAAATTATCAAGCTGCAGGCTAAATCAAAAATACTTTTGAGGACGTTCAGTTTCGGGCGTTAGAAATGATAATGAAAGAGATAAGGGGAAGGTATAAAGTGAAAGGGAGAAGTTATTCGAATGAATGATAATGAAAGAGTGAATGTATGGTGAGGTTAAGATGCAATGGAAAAATATTAAGGATTTAAAAAGTAATAAACAATAATTTTTGAAATTCTGATTAATACCTTTCTTTCCTCACTTAAACTCTTAATATGTCAGTGTAAATTAAAATAAATTATTTTTTCAATAATATAATTTAGCAAAATCAACTTAAACTGAAGTTACATTAAAGAATACCATTTTATCAAACGTCGTCGACATCGTTGAATAAAAAAAAATTGAATGAATGCCGGCGAAGTTTAATAAAACCGAGTTAATCAAAAACAAATTAAATTGAAAAGGAAATTAAATTTAAAAACAAATAACACATAAAAAAATAGATTCATTAAAACACAAATTGGATAGTAAAATATTCCTAATATCTTTATAGAAATTTTCCCAAAAATCGATTTTTTCTCTTGAAAATCAAGATAAAATTTTAATTGACATTCACAAAACGGATTTATGCAAATAAACAGAAACACAGACTAGTAATCTGGAAAAGGAACACAGAAATTACTATGATAATCAGGAACAGGAACACAGATTTATAACAATCAGGAACAGGAACACATACTAATAACAATCAGGAACAGGAACACAGACTAATAATAATCAGGAACAGGAACACAGACTAATAACAATCAGGAACAGGAACACAGACTAATAACAATCAGGAACAGGAACACAGACTAATAATAATCAGGAACAGGAACGCAGACTAATAATTATCAGGAACAGGAACACAGACTAACAATAATCATGAACAGGAACACAGACTGATATTAATATTAATAATAATAATAATAATAATAATAATAATAATTATAATAATAATAATCCACCTTCTTTAGGACTAAGCTTCTCTCCCCACTTGACAAGTATGTTCCATAAATCTCTAGCAGGAATAGTTCCTTGGAAAAATATTCGTATAAAAGAAAATATTAAGAAAAATATTAAAAATAAAAATACCTTTTCTCTGAGTATCCATGTTCTTGAAAGCTTGTATTAACTCCTTCGGTATATTCTCCTTTTTACTGAAATAGAATTATTAATAAAAAAATGAGTAAAAAAGGTTAAATACATTACACAAATATTTTCTATATTTTCATTTCAAAAAAATATTTATCGGACATTTATGCATAAGTACAGTATAGTACATTTTATAAATATAACTTTACGTAGATTATTCATTTTTAGTTTATAGAGATAGGATGATGTTAGGCACTTTCCCAAAATATAGAGATATGATAATGTTAGGCACTTTTCCAAAATATAGAGATAGGATGATGTTAGGCCCTTTCCCAAAATATAGAGATAGGATAATGTTAGGCACTTTCCCAAAATATAGAGATATGATAATGTTAGGCACTTTCCCAAAATATAGAGATAGGATGATGTTAGGCACTTTCTCAAAAGTTGTTTCCCAAGCGGCAACTCCCCCCCAAGTGGCAAATTTCCAACTGTGCAATTTCCCAAGCGGCAATTAGTTTGACGTGGAATTCACTTTAGTTTGACGTGGAATTCACTTTAGTTTGACGTGCAATTCATTTTAGTTTGACGTGCAATTCACTTTAGTTTGACGTAAAATTCACTTTAGTTTGACGTGGAATTCACTTTAGTTTGACGTGGAATTCACTGTAGTTTGACGTGGAATTCACTTTAGTTTGACGTGTAATTCACTTTAGTTTGACGTGCAATTCACTTTAGTTTGACGTGTAATTCACTTTAGTTTGACGTGCAATTCACTTAAGTTTGACGTGTAATTCACTTTAGTTTGACGTGCAATTCACTTTAGTTTGACGTGCAATTCACTTTAGTTTGACGTGCAATTGCCGTTATTTTTATGTTCATTGAATTTCTTATTCACAACTTCCAATCGTTTTCCTATTTCTCATTGCAAAATAAATGTATCCCATAAACAATTTTTAAACTCGAGAACATTCCCTTTTCTGATTTTATACTTTATTAGTTTTCTAATTCTAAAATTAATGATTCAATTTTATTTTATAACTTTTTTATTTATTTCTTTTCATAAATTCTTAATTGGGGCAAAGTCAGTAAAAATACAGTTCATAACCAACAACAACAACAACAACAAAAATTCAAACCGTTTCTTCAGATTTTTTTTTGTTTATGGACAATTTGTATTTATTTATTTATTTATCTAAAATAACAGCAAAAAACTTTTAGATTTTTCACAGAAAATTATTACCCTCAATCGCCAAACTCTTAATCTATAAACTTTATATCTTTGCAATCTGATGTTCACCTTTCAAAAAAAAACTACGTATTCTGTTAGATCGAATAGTTCAGTGGCGTTTTTATCCATAACTTAAAAACAGCTTATACTGACACTAGAACACTCAAACTTCGACACTTCTCAACTTTATAATTGAAGACATATGTTGCTCCAAAAAATGTTATTGATGCACAGGGTAGAGTAGACGACGATCAAACGGCTGGTCTGTGTTCCGAAAAAAATCAAAAATAGTCCAACAATTTAATTATTATTATTTGATCTAAGCTACAGATCTAAAATTTAGTTATCTGAAAACCCGTTGAATACTGGATGAAGAAACTTGCAGTCACATGATATTATGATATTATGATATTATGATATTATGAAAAAAATCCTCCGCATTTAAATAAAGATTGAAAGCCTCACTTACTATCTAACCAATAAAGTTAGTGGTCTATTTTTTTAATAAGCTTGCCTTGTAATACACGCCACTATCTCAACTCCAAGAAATCATAAGGGGGGAGGGATAAGCTATCTGTATCTTGAACTAAAGTGGACAGTCAGCTTTAAGCTACCTGTGTGTATGCATGATCTCCAAGAAATCGGAGAACGCAATCTTCCCGTTCTTCTCCCTCATGTACACCTTCAGCTCAGGGATAGTCGGGGACATGCCCAGGGATCTGGATAAAGAAAATATAAAGACGATCTTTAAACGTCTTCGTTGATTCACGCGGCATTTATTTTAGTATGTTTCTTCTCAACACTACAATGGTCGACCAGATGACGTCTGTCCTAATTATCTATCCATGAGGTAATAATTTTACGTGAAAGATCTATCGGCTGAGGTTCTAAACTATCGTCCCCCGAAGTCCCCGAAGTAAGTTATGGATATTGCACATACACGATAGTTGAGAAAAAAAACTTACTCTGCGGAAATTGATTACAACCCGTGAGAGGGGTGTTTTAAAAGGAAATGATTTTTAAATATTTTGGAAAGAATTTAAAAATCGAATTATGCATAAAGTTGTGAACTTCTCTATCATATTTTTGTATTCAAAAATTTTCTTATTTACCCCTTGGATGCAAGAAGCAATTATTTTTTCCAATTTATTGTTAACATTTTTTTATTGTTAAAGTTGGGATAAAAAATCTTGATTTTTCAACAAAGTTATACTCCTAAGTGGCCTCTTTCTAAAATAATTATTTTAAAGGGACTGTAACCGTAATTTCAAGTGAACATCCACGCAAACACAGCAATGCCCGATTCACAATAGCTTTATAAGCCTAATTTATAATCACGTATGATTTTGATATCAATGTTTATAATTTATAATTAATTTGAATTGTGATTTCTTAACAAAAGCGACTTGCGTATTTCTACTGTAGGAAAACATTTTTAAAGCTAGAAAAACGATTAAATCTTTATTGATCAATTAAAGGTTTTAAATGTACCTTTGTAAATCGGCCATTGCAATATTTTCAAGAAGGGGCACTTAAAATTAAAAAAGTACAGTCCCTTTAAAGGGACCGTTCACTTTTTTGGGTAATTTCAGGGTAAACTAAACAGCCTAAGCGCTATTCATCGGTAAAAGTCTTACTTTTCAAAGACAACTGTGGCCGGAGAAAAAGCCGATTTTTCGTTCAGAATTTGAGCGCAAAGGAACGGTTCCTTTCTATACACACTATTTGATGTTTTTTTTCAGTAACAACAGTCCATCAGGCAATAGAAAATCTTTAATGCGATAAAATAGTCTTATTTTAGAGATAGAAAGTTAAAAAACAAAAAAATTTAAAAAATTTTAACATTTACAATTAACGATTAGATACTACAGTTTAATTTTATATTCGGAATTTATTTTGATTCACAACATACTGAAAAAAACATCAAATAGTGTGTATAGAAAGGAACCGTTCCTTTGCGCTCAAATTCTGAACGAAAAATCGGCTTTTTCTCCGGCCACAGTTGTCTTTGAAAAGTAAGACTATTACCGATGAATAGCGCTTAGGCTGTTTAGTTTACCCTGAAATTACCCAAAAAAGTGAACGGTCCCTTTAAGAACCAAACTTAACGTTAATTCCAAAAGGTTTTTAAGAATGAAGAAACCTCCTTTAAGAAACTTAATATCGTTACCTCATAATGACGGTTAGTTGGTCCATTGTAGACACTGTACCGGACCTAACAATTATATCAGGTTTGTAGATTACGATGGTTCGTTTTTCTAATGATTTCTTTCAGGGTCGAATCTTGGTATAGTGAAAGAAAAGAAATATTTTTCAAAATTGGGTTATTTACACTTTGCCAAATTTTGATTTGGACAGAATATAGACGCAAAAATTATTCAAAAACGGTCCAAAAATTTACGTGCTATAAAGATCTTTTTAGAATCGGGTTTCCATTATTTCAGGACAAAAATGTTAAAAGTTAAATAAACAAAAAAACGCGATTAAACGATTAATCATATTAGCTAGTACACTAAAGAACACAAGGTGTCTTAACAAACATAGAGATCCAATCCAAATCGTCTTTTTTTTGCTAACAGTAAATTAATGAAAACAGTGTTCCAAAAGAGGTCGGCCGTAATAAAAAAATTTTAAAAATAGATTTCTTTATGTCTCCGTCAATTTTTAATGGCCCAGCAAACCAAATTTTGTAATTTAGCATTTGGTTGGGGCCTTTTTGGGCTGAAATACTTATGAAACAACATAAAAAATCGTTTAATATAAATAGATCAAAGAAGCTTTTAATCTCTCATTAGTCAATTAATAGTTCACATGATTCATGGGGACCAACACAATAATTTCAAACAATTCTAAGTACGTTTAAACTGCGAGGGAAAAAATGATAAATATGACATCACCTTTTGATACTTTTTACCAATTAATTCGCAAAATTTTATATGTGTAAAAAATATGTATTTGCCCCAATTTTGCGAATAAACCGTAAACATTTTTTCTCGCAACACGCAAACATACCTTACATCTGGATAGGGAAAAAATAGTATTTAAAGAAAATATAAATGTTGCATAAATTGTTCCTAAAGTCATATTTACAATAAACTAAGGTTTAATTTAATTTCAGCATGGAATATGGACTTATACAGGTCTTTAAACAAAATTTGGGGCATCACTTGGGCCCCTATTAAACCTGCAAAAATAATGAATTTTACTGACCAAGGGGGGGGGGGTTAAGCCCCCAAAGCACACCTGAATACGCATCTGGATTTAACAAAACAAATTTGCAACAATTATTGCGAGTAAAATGAAAACTGGAGGAATTAAAAAGTCGCAAAGTTGTGATGAGAATGAGCTTGCAGTTGCTTACCTTGCATACAGATAGAAACATTCTCTATACTCGTCAATATCTTGCTCGCGGAAATAACGGGCCTAATAAAAGGTCTAGAAATCTACATAATCTAATAATGGTGGATGTATTTATTGTATATATATTACGATAGATGCCAGGAAAACTATGAAGATTATTATATTCAATAAGAGGAACAAATATGCATATATTAAACTTAATACTTATATTGGATTGATTAGATTGATAAAAGGTTAGTGAAGAGAGTTACTAAGCACTAACCCTAGCTAAAGTATATTAGATTAGATAGATAAAAGGTTAGTGAAGGGAGCTAATAAACACTAGCCCTAGCTAAAGTATATTGGATTAGATGGATTAAAGGTTAGTAAAAAGAGTAATAAGTGCTAACCCTAGCTAAAGAATATGCGCACCCGGCCTCAACTATGCGATTACGGTGAAGAGTTATATTTTTTCAGTTTCTTGACAATTTGTAATATTTTAAAATTTTCACCCCCCCCCCCCCCCAGTGCAAAATGATTTTAAATAATTTAGGGAAAAACTGAAAAATTTGACCTCCAAAGGCAATGTTTTTATTCTTTAGAATACTTTTTACCGAAACATGCATTCCATTCATTTTCCCCTAAAAATCATGCATTTTACCAAAACATGCATTCCATTCATTTTCCTCTAAAAATCATTTATTTTCCCCAATTCAGCCAACAAAACCGCAACAAATCATATTTAACAATTATCAAATAGGGAGAAGGTGGGGGGGGGGGGCGAAACAAAAATTATCTTTCAAGAAAATATTCACTCCTGACAATATACTGTAAGCTGAATATTCTATACAACTATTCATAATGGAATATACTTCAGTTTGACAAAGTACTTTTTTAACACTAGGTTCTTCAGTTCAATATAATAACTAGGCTTTTAGGGGGCTTCGCACCCATAACATGTTCTCTTTGTTTAAATTGTAAAACAAAAATTAAACAAAAAATCGCCGAAGTTCAAAATTTTCAAAAATCGAATTTTGTTAGAGGCAAATTATTGAAAATTCGTTCATCCATAAAATGTTAAATGTGAAAATATCCTACCATTGTATATGTATAGAAGAATACGGTATAGAGTAGGGTTAAATGTGAAAATATCCTACCATTGTTTATGTATAGAAGAATACGGTATAGAGTAGGGTTAAATGTGAAAATATCCTACCATTGTTTATGTATAGAAGAATACGGTATAGAGTAGGGTTAAATGTGAAAATATCCTACCATTGTTTATGTATAGAAGAATACGGTATAGAGTAGGGTTAAATGTGAAAATATCCTACCATTGTTTATGTATAGAAGAATACGGTATAGAGTAGGGTTAAATGTGAAAATATCCTACCATTGTTTATGTATAGAAGAATACGGTATAGAGTAGGGTTAAATGTGAAAATATCCTACCATTGTTTATGTATAGAGTAGGTAGGGTAGGCAGGACAGGTAGTCAGACACTGATAACAGTCATATGCTGTGGATTTCCATATCTATCTATCTATCTGTGTATACTGTCCGTGTCAGACCCGTAGCTAGGATTTTGTAGGGGGGGGGGGGCACAAAAGTTAAGAATAACATAGATATATTTGTAAGGGGCGCGCCGCAGGCGAAAATTTTTGTTGACCTGAAAAACTCAATAAGGGTAACAATTAATGAATATAGTCTAAAAAACTAGTTTTTTAACTTTTCATTTAACACACATATAGTTTATTAAGATAGATATTTTGCCTGTTCGTTGCTATTAAATAATTGAGAAGCTATTTGCATCAAAACAATAAAAAGCTGAAGGTATAAGATGTAGAGATTTGAGTTATACTAAATGTATAAATGTACTACTGAAAACTATCGATTAACGATTAGCCAATACTTATTCTCAATACAGGGAAAGTATAAATGATTTAAATTCCTGTAAAGATAAAAAAGCTCAAGCTTGAAAATCTTTAGTTTTCTCAAAAATAAATTTTAAAAAAACTCCCCTGCAAGCAGGAGGATGATCGTACAAACTGCAGCTTCTCCCAAACCTGGCCATATTTTGTATAATTTACTTAAAACTAAATTTAAAAAAAACTCCCCTGCAAGCAGGAGGATGATCGTACAAACTGCAGCTTCTCCCAAACCTGGCCATATTTTGTATATAATTTACATTTGTCTCCATGTTACTTTTTACTGTACGATGGTCCATTAGAATTATTAAAATAATAAAAGAGGGAAAAGGATACGCTTCTCAAAATACAAAAAAATAATTTAGACCCTAACGTTCCCCAAGACAGGATGAAAATAAGAATTCCCAAATAATTTATTTCAGAAAGCATTAAATTTTTCTTTACTTTGAAGATAAAATAATCCGTTACACATAATATTATTGGTGACAATAATCAGATTTTATGCCAATTTTCTCCCCTTTTTCGTTTCCTTCTTTTCCTTTTTTTCCTTTTCTTCTTTTTTGTCTCAGAAAGTGTGTCCCACCTTTGAGGGTAAAAGGGGGGGGGGGCCGCGCTCCTGTGTGCTCTCCCATATGTACGGGCCTGATCCGAGTATCTATCTATTTATCTATTTATCAATCTATCTATTTAGAAAACAACCAACCAACCAACCAACCAACCAGCCAAGTAACCAACCAAGCAACCAAGCAACCAATCAACCAATAATCCAACCAACCAAGCNTGTTTCTCCTTATGAATGATCAAAATTTCAAATATTTGTCTCCATCAAAATTCGATCTTGTATATCTATATAACCATCTCTCAACTTCTTTCTTTCAAGAAAAGGACACAGACAGAATTATAAATAATTATGTATGTGTTTCTTTCTATTTTTTCTTTAACTCTAAATCCAATATATATAGCTGTATATCAATCTTACTACGTAACTAGCTGTATATTTATCTTTAATTTCTGAATATCTATTTGCAAGTACTCACTTTAATTAAATGTAGTGCATGAATTGCAATTAATCTGCAGAATTCCAAAGATATATATTATACAATATACATAGATAGGTCCTATATTCAGTCAGGGGGTTCAAAATGAAGAAACCGTTACATGCTCCGAACCAGTAAAATGATTTTATGATTATGATTTTATAACAGCCCTGAGCCCGTCAAATATGTAGAGGACACAGCGTGTTTTAGGCAAAAATGTTGGTTGGCTGAATACATGTACAGGGTGTCCCAAGGAACATGGGGATTCCGTTACGAATTTTGTTTGCTCTGTTCACATTTTGTTTGTGTATGTTCTGACTGCATATACGGATACTTAGTAAAACAAGAAAATTGTCGTAAAACCTTTTAAAAGTTTCAAAATATTAAAAGTTTATGTAAAGCGAAACTAGCTATTGCCCATCGCTACCAAGGAAACGCTACTGCCTATCCGAGTTTGAAATTTTTTAACAACAAAGAGATTATAAACAAGGTAAGCTACAAAGGATGAGACTGTAAAGACGACCGGATACTCTAAAAATGTGACAATACCAAGGTTAAATTATTTATTCTGCCTTAGATATAGTAATCATATGGCTTATTTAATGATTTAGCATTGAAAGAAAAAAGTTTACAGAACTGCAGAGATCCATGAATATAAGAAAAAAGGCCGTATAGAATAGATTACGTACAATCGCCTCTGAAGCCTTATCCTTTGTGGGAAACCCTGAAGGTGCTTCCATGGTTTAACTGCTGAAACCTCAATAAAAAAATCTCCGGAGAGGAGTATGGAAGAAGATAGCGGTGGCATTTTCTCGGAAACTTATAAGAAATTGAAAACTTGAATTAACATAATCTTAAATCTTAAAGTGTATCAGATTCTGATAAAAATGGAACCAAGAGTGTAGAGAAGAATAGTGCTACTGGTGGCGCAACAGCAGTACAATGATGGATACAGCTAGTACTTTGTGCTTAACTAGCTATAATAGTGGGGGTATGGGAATTGATAAACAGAACTTTATAAGTTTGCTATCTTGGTTCTCAGACATTTTATGCATTCATGATAAATATGTTATGTAGTGATTAAAAATCAATGTTTTCTATTTGTGCATAATTTTGCATATTTTTTCTCTTTTCTTTTGGAATGTTGTATTTTCAAAAAAAATTTATTTAAACAAATTTAAACTACACCATTTATATATGTATTTATATCTTTGTGTGTGAATAAATCTTTATAATAATCATCCTATATTCACAAAAATCTAAATTTAACTTAAGATTTGGCTGTGTTCAATTCAAATCGTTTTTTCCTTGTGTTTTTTAAAAATTTATACTTTTTACAACTGTAAAATTAACGATATGAGTCAATCAAGTACCTGTTTAATTACATATATAATTAATATAATTACAAGAAAAAATCATTCATATATTCTGAAAAAAAACATCAAATACATATATAATTTTAGTCATCTACTTTGAAAAAGGACAGATAATGTTACGTTTTCCCTGAATTTATGAATTTATGCTTGATCATTCTAACCAGCATTCATAATCTTATTTTATTTTCGATTTTATAAAAGTTCTTTCAAAGAAGATAAACAGGTAACAGTTATCAAATATGATAATCACTTAGAAGTTTCCAGGTTCAGTCTCAGAATGTTCTCTAGATTTAGAACTGAGTTTCTGCCACAAACTTAAATATTCGAATCCCTAAATCTTTGCGCCGATAGGTGTAAACATTTGATATCTCAACACAAATACAATACAGTTCGGAACTTTTTTACATTACATGTTTACAATAGCCTTTAGCCTTGAGAATTAAGAAAGATAAAAGTTTTTTTAAACTAATCATTATAGTAGATAAACAATTTCTACAATAAGTCTTTTGGTTTTATTGTTCCTGACTCCTGTGATACTGATATTCGCCAATCTTTCTTTTAATTCTGCAGGGGGGGGGGGGCGCACTCCCCTCTCAGGTGCTAGGGGGGGCGCCCCTGAAGATTAAAAACACCTATTTCACCATCAAATAGGCCAAAGGAACTAAGTTCTTGTCACAAAATCAAACTTTCTAATCCCTATATCTTTGCAACATGATGGTGTAAACATTTAATATTTCAAACTTTGAGGGTTTGATCTGGCAGAATTTATAGTTTGAAATATTAAGATTCTACAACATATGGTGGCAAAGATACAAAGTGAATAAGTTGTTTGATACCAAAGATCAATATAAATATTATATGGGAGTCATGTTAATTGGCTTGTCTGTCTGTCTGTTTGTATCCAATAAACGTCAAAACGGCTGAACCGATCGGGCCCAAATTTTTTGTGGGACATCTAGGGACTCCAAAGAAGGTTTATGAATCATCAAAATTTCAAATATTTGTCTCCATCAAAATTCGATCTCCATTGAATTTTTTAAAATTTTGAAAATCCACAAATTTTTTTGTGAAAATCCGCGAATTATTTTTGTTTTGTTTTACGATGTGCACAAAGAGAACATGTTCACAATTAATTTAGAAGATGGGCGCGAAGCGTCCTCTAAGGCTAGTGTTAATAAAATTGATTTCAAAGTAAAAGATAATGAAGCTGAAGGTTTTTTTTGACTAAAAATAACGATTGATTAAATGTCATGTTTCGTGGGACACCCTGCATGTCTTAGTTCTTAACCACTCTTACATCTGTTAAAATACAAAAGTGAAGACTACGAGATATATTTCGAAGATCTTCATTTTTCGGTATCACAATTTGTACATTCCTCGTTTTACAGATTATGCATTCATGCATTATTGTGCTGTCTGAAATTATTTGTTGTGCGGTAAAATGGCTAAAATTCACTTCTAAAATCTTAATTTACGTTAATCTATATTTAAGTTAAATACAAATTCTAAGTCTGCGTTTTTAAACAAAGGTAGTCCAGTTTCTGTTGTACTGTGCACGATCCGTATACAGACCAATTTATACATGTATATATAAAATTTTTAAATACAGGGTGTCCCACGAAACATGACATTTAAAAAATCGTTATTTTTGGTTAAAACATCCTTTTGCTTCATTATCTTTTACTTTAAAATCAATTTTAATGTAACATGACTCACACATAATATTTTTAATGATCTTTGGTACCAAACAACTCAACAAATTATGGAAAAATACATTCTAAACTATTCACCAACTGTCATGTTTCATGGGACACCCTGTACTGTAGTCATCCAACTATGAGTTTGGTCCACTTTAGTATTTAATCACTTTGAAAGATATAAGGATTAGAAAATCAGAGTTTATGGCAAAAAGTCAGTTCCTTTGAAGTAACTTAATAAATTTTGCATAAGACTCCACTTCTGAAAACTAGCTCTTCAGCTAAATTATATGTATGCAAAAAGACCTGATTTATCAAGTTGTAACCTTTTGTTAAATGTATTTTTTAGACGAATTAATGTGGAATATATATAAGAAATGCATATCCTAACATTTAAAAACTACATGACATGTTTCATTTTCTGAACTAAATGTTGTTTTGTAAAGTACATGCAATAAAGTCGGTGAAATGATCCTAACAATTCAAAATGGGAAATTCTGAATTCCTACTTTGACCGGCTGGCGAAATGAACATTTATCATTCAAATGTTATCGATAATTGTTACATTTTCTTCAATTAATCATGTGCTAATTATTTTTTTGGAATCCCAAAAAAGGTTTGTAGTTGTTCCTAGGGTGACACACGAAGTGGGTTAACAATTATTTTGGGGGTGCATAGTTTAGTTGTATGGACGCTGTTTCCAATTATGAACATAATGTGAAAATTTTAGGTTGATCAGCGCATTGCATCAAGTGAAAGTCGCTTCTGATAAAACCTCGATTTTAGATGGCGGACAATGACCTCCGATCCCATCTTTGTGGTCCAACCAGATGGCGGACAATGACCTCCGATCCCATCTTTGTGGTCCAACCAGATGGCCACAATTAGAGGCAGAATGCAAAACTCTAGTCTCTTATCCCAATACAAAATTTGTTGTCACAAAATTCAAGATTTTTTCCCTGAAACTACTTGAGCCAACGTTCATTGTGGGTTCTAAGGGTTGACATCGCTCATAGAACCTATATATGCACCTTTTGATTTTCTTACTTTCATTTTCACTTGTGTCACCATATTGGACACCAATCAGAAAACTGATTTTAAGCAGAGACAGAAGTTCCTTCTAATCATTTTTATTTGTTCCCAATAATTCCATCTATAACAGAAATATTGAGTGGAGGAGGGAGCTCCCCCCCCCCTTCCCCCGGAAATTTGACGATAATTACAGGAGTTTTAGGATGAAAACACCTTTTAAAAATCATTTTCAATAAGAAATTTTTGTTTTTCATTTTTATTCTATATTTTTATTAGTTATTGGCACAAATAAGTTGAATATCACATAACATAAAGGGTTAACCACAAAGAATGAGACTATAATGGCGATAACACTCGGTATGACTTAGCAAATACAGGAACAAGCGTTAGTTTTTAACTCATGGACGCCGAAATGTATTAAGACTTAATAAATTCCGTACAGTCGTCTCATAAGTCTCATCCTAAACGGTGTACATTGATCACAAGTAAAGGGAAAACATGGATTTAATCTATTCAAAAATCACTTGGAAGACGTAAAAATAATTTTTTTCCTCCTACAAAATTATAACATAAAAAATGTTGCCAACAAAATAAAATGCACCGGGGTTGAAATGATCACTTTTGATAACAAATTCTTTCACTTGGAATATAAATATAATATAATTCCAATATAATATAATATAAATTGGAACATAAAAACATTAAAATCATTTTACCTAAAACTATTCTTGTAATAGAAATGTGGCAAAAATGCATAAAAGATAAGACTAAAAAAGCTAATATGTGTAAACCAAAACAGAAAAATAGTGTGCTTAACATTATAACTCAATATTAATGATCGCAAATTCTAATAAAAATACGAATAAAAATAAAGAAACTTCATTATTTAAGATTGGTTGGATTTCGTGCTTCTCAAAAAAAGAACAAGGATTTGGAATCTTTTACGTTAATACAAATGCTTTCAATAATTGTCATAAGAAGGATTGATTCTGCCGGATGATGTGGACCTAGATGAGGAAAAAGCTCAAACATCTTTCCTTTAAGGAATATTCACAAAATTTCAAGTGACAATTCATTTAAAAAAAATTTGTCCTAACAAAACTGCCGAAAATATCCTTGTTTTACTCTCTTAAATATAATGATTTTTTATTGTCCTCTCCTCAGTCAATTAACTTTTGGATTATCCCAGTAAGAACATAAAAGGACATTGACAAATTGTTCTTTTTCTACAGTTAACCTCATGAATTGAATACACCGGTAGAATTCATATAATGTCGCCTTGAATTTGAATTAGAAGCTGTAAGTTGTATTTTCCCAAGCTTCCAAGTTTTCAGTCAGAAGCTTTACAGGGATATGTATAGTTTACTAAAACATAATCAAAATTTCTTAGTTGAGTCAATTTTTTTGGGGAATGAAAGTTTTCTAAACTTTTTTTTAAAATAAATAAATAGCCCTGAAATATGCGGAACATCTCATTCAACAGCTTCATAAACTTTGTCGCTAATTTATGAATTTGTCCTTCATAACATATAGGTCTCAGCGGCATAACCAAGTGAAAACTGATTGAGAAGACATTTTAATACTTCTTCCGATATATTCATATTAATGAGTTTCACTGTAGGAGAAAATAGACAGTAAATAGAGTCACTTCAGATTAGTCGTACATTCCCTTTTAACTCTTGATTTTTAAAGACATGAGGCTGTGTCTGCTGTCGTTAACAAATTTTTCAATTTTGAAAGATGTCAAACTTCTTACATTTTAGCAGAATTTCTTGATAGCCAATAACCTCAAAGGTTAAAAAATTCAGGGAAAATTATCCAATTTTACGAGAAAAATGCCTTTACATGTTAATATAGAAAATCCTAAATTTATGATCTTAAAAAAAAATTAATCACAAAAGAAAAAAAACCACTTAATATTATTGTAAAATGTGTTATTTATGTAAAAAACAGAATATTTAAAATGTTTTATATATTATATAAACTATATTCGTTATTTTTTCTTTGCTGAAATGTAAATGTCTTTTAAACTTAAACTTAATTTTTCATCCTAGATAATATTTACCCCTAAACAAATATTAATAAAAACCCATTAGAAAAAAACTAAATTTTTTTGGCAGATAATTTAAATGGAAGACAATACTTTATAAAAGTATATAAATGTTGGCAACAAAGAAAAAGGACTACCCTAAACAATTATTTATTCTTATTTTCCTCTGGCAGCGGGAGCTGTTCTCTTCCGTCCATTTTTTTCATGATAAAGATGACAATGTGACCAAGGATGTACAGAAAAGGTAGAGACATGTGTCCAATATAGTAGACTCCACTCCAATAGTTCATAGTGCTCTTTACCCTGTAATAATATTAATAATGACTGCAGCCATTACACAATTATTTCCTCCCTGGATCTGCATCCGCAAAAATATGCGGATCCATATATCCGGATCCAAGAGGCAAAATATCAACCAAAACCAAAATTTTTGCTCTCAAAACACAAATCGACATTGTGAACTAATAATATATGTACAAAAATTTCCAAATTTCTGTTCCATAAGTTTCAGCAAAAAATAGCAATAAAAAAATGTTTGAACATTTTTCATTTGTAAAAACAAAATCAGTTAATTTTGAAGAAATGTTCAGAACCTGGATCCGGATCCATTTTCATCCAGAGCGGATCCAGGATCCACATCAAAATGAAATTGATCTTAAAGCACTTGTATAAAATGTATAAAATATAGATTACCCACAAAGGCTGAGACTTCAGAGACAACACTACTGTATTTTTACTATCAGCTTCCTTGTTGCCATGATTCCCTGCAGCTGAAAACTTGTGTTCCTTGCCAAATAGTTTATAAAGCCATTAAATTACTATACTTAAGGCAAAGACTGAATTTAACCTTGATATTGTCATATTTAAGAGTCTCAGATCGTTATCCAGTCTTATCCTTTGTGGGTAACTTATCCTTGTGTTACTATGAACTAATGTAGATTTAAACATTTTCCCTTGCGAAGGTGGAAATGTGCCACTTGAAAATTGTCACTGGGAATTCCTTTGGCAGAGCTGTTGATGTATATTTCAGTGACCCTTTGCTTAAAAAGGGGCATATTCGATTTACATCTCTTTGTCTGATAAAGTAAATTATATATATATTGTTTTTCTATCTTACCAGATCTGACAATTGATTATTTACAATGGTGGTTTTCAAGTAAAGTAAAGTGATTTTTACACTTATTCAGATAGAAAAATGATGTAAACTTACTCATTGGTGTTCAGATTAAGGTTTGAATGATACCACAGTGAATCTGACATGCCACTTTAATAAAAGAAGGGTCACTTGAAAACACTTCAACAGTCCCTTTAAGAAAGTACCTAACACCCCAATTAACTGGAAGAGATGTCAGTAAAAAAAAACTTATTAATTGAGTCCCTAATATATACTTAACAAAAATAAAAAAGAAAGGGAAAAACTAAATTTAACCTGAGCAGAAGAAATCCCATTCCAAGATAATCAAACCAGCGCATTCGCAGGAACCAGGAACACCAGTCAAATCTACTCAGGTTAACAACATTGTCTTAATGAGGGTGTATAAGTGTATAAATTTTGGAAGAGATATACTCTTCCCAGCCATAACCAGTCAACAGAGCCAGGAATACATCCTTTGTTCATTATAGGGGTAAATATTCTAAGGGAATTATACCCCCCCCCCCTTAAATAACAATGCTCACTAGAAAATGGAGGGCATATTTCAGAATGATATAAACTCTTCCCCTCTACAAGGCTAACTTATGTACTCTTTCCTTGTTGCAAGGGTATATTTCCTGAGATTTAAATACCCCCTCCCTCCTACACAACCACACCCACAACCATCAAATGCAACCATATTCATAATTTTTGCTTATTGCAAAGGTTTATTATAACCTACCCTCACAACACAAAAAAAATTACAGTGAGAACCAGAAAACGGTAAAAATATGTTGTCTCTGTTCTCTTCCTCACTTGAACAATGGCACTAAGAATTTTATTATTTGCAATTTTCAGAGCACAAGTATTCCTGTTCCAAATTATGAGTCCTAAGTAAGAATTTTTTAAACACCCTGTATATATAAATGGAAAGGGTTAGTTTTGAAAGTTTAATTCATTCAAAAGTTGTCTTTCCTGTTTTGCATTCTGATACTCAATCTTGGTCTCACTTTTCCAACCCAGACATCCTCAACCTTTAATAATAATTAAATGTAAACTTACTAGAGGGCAGAATATTTGCTTAAAAATCATCGCACGCAACATAAAAAAAAATCAGCCTTAATTTGAGAGCTAAAAAGTACAGTGAGAAATAAACAATCTGCACCTTTGCACACTAGTACTTTCCTAAAAATTGGTTTATTCTGCAATATATTTTTATTTTTGAGAGTTCACATTTAGCAATAAACACTTGCAGTTAACCCATTCTTAACATATTGGAGGGAAATTATGCAAGAATTAAAAAAATTATCCTTGTAGATTTGTATAAAGTAATATGAATGTTGTAGATGAAATGTAAAAATAAGATCTAATAACAAAATTAGTTTATATATAGAATGTCCAATTTCTTTCAGACTAATTTGGATCCGTTTACAACAATTTGAGAATAAATCTACATCCTAGGAATCCTGGATGCTTCACAAAGCAGGGAGTGAAGCAAACTGCTAAATAAAGTTTAAAGGACGGTTATTCGGAATCAAGTCCATAATGGATTAATCGTCCTGTAAACATTTGTTCAATGTCACATGTAGCTTCTAGGGGGCAGATTTATTTTAATTGAGCTGAGAAAGGTTGAGGAAAGTTCCTGTAAGGCCTTTATGGATCCAAATTGATCTAGAAAAAATTGGAAACCATATTTCTGTATCATGGATCTTAAATAAAAAATTGATGCTAAAAATAATAAGTATTAATTAACAACACTAATAATGATAAAAGGTTTATTAAATAAAAAATGATTGCTAAAAATAATAAGTATTCATTAACATCACTAATAATGATAAAAGGTTTTGAACCTTGAATAATAAAAGAAAACAAATTAGCAAAAATAGAAGAAAAACAGAATCTGGTTTTTGACCTAACTATCAAGTAATTTACATATGCACTGCAAAGCAAACTGTTATAACTTTTTGACAAAAACATCAAGATGATTTCCTGAAACCAGTATCCCCCCCCCCCCCCCGGATATTTAAGAGCTCAATTTATGTGATATTAGCATATTTTGTACAGAGCTGACATGAAAAAACCAAGCCCCCCAAAAAAACTATAAAACCCACCTGTTCTAACTTTAAATAATTTATTTTAATTAAATTTAACAATATTTTTAAATATTTATATGATATCAGATAAAAATATTTTGAGATTTCTATATTTCTTGTTCTTTATTTTCTTGTCTGTACATCTGAAAAAAAAGATTTGTTTTTGGATGTTCTTGTAGTATGCCACTTTAAAGGAAAGAACTATTTTTAGAGGATCTTGCTTTTTCTGAAATCAGAATTGCATTGAACTAGCTGAGAAGACCTTGCTTTCTTTTTTGTAACTTTTTCCTTGGGGGCAGGGAGGGGGGGGGAGCAATGGTCTCACCCCCCTTCACAGTGGGGAGGGGGAATGTCTTCCAAGCCCCCATCTCTAATATCAAGAGATTTCCCCTCCAATTTTTCTTGTTCAATTTTCTTTCTTTTCTTGCTTCATGTTTCTTGTTACTACAATTTGAGGCCTCTCCAAATAGTTCTTTTGACATCGAGTTGTGGAGCAGGTAGGAGAGAGATAGGTGGGCTTGTAGGAGGAAGGCTATAAGGAATTGCCCCTTGTTTTCGACTTAACCAGAAATATGTATTCAAGTATTGAAAAAAAGTAGTCTGAAATTCATAGAGCTTGATATAAAAAAAACGCAGTATTCCCCCCTGTGATAGCCCTCATGAAGAAGGGAGGTGATATTATTGTATTTGAAGAGTATTTAATACTTGTATATAATTATAGCCTATTATCACAATATTATCATTTTTCATAACTGTAAAGTTTACCTGTTGCTTAAGTAGTCTTGAGTATGAAATTTAGTAGGTTTCAACTACTTTCGAATTGAAAACCCGAAAAAGGCCGATTCAATTCAATAAAAACCCAATATAACCAAATGGGCTGTTTTTTTAAATAACCTGTTCCCCCCCCNGGGGGGGGGGGGGGGGGGGTATGTCTAAGACACTAGACAAACACAATTACTGATTTTGCTATTTATACTTACCATAAGGAAGAGTGGTACAGATCCCAAAGACAGATAATATCCTATTTCAATATTCATCTTTTTACGATTTCATCTCTTTCATTGTAAGAGAGGTTTTTTTTCGGTAGATCCAAATGAAAAAAGTTACTATTAAGATTGGCAATTAATGTGGGTTAATAAGACACTTTTATGAATAATTAACTAGGTTCAAGGTTTTCAGCTTTTTTCATTTTTGATTTTTGATTATTAATAAAAATTATTTCTCATGAAACATTAGAGATCATATTTCTGTGGGAACATTTACTTTAAATCATAAAATGCAATGAACGGAAAATAAAAAGAATTCATTTAAAAAAGAACTTTTCATTTAAAACAAGCTTTTTCCCCCCCCCCCCCCTCTTAACTTGTCTGAAAACCCAATTAAACAAGAAGTACGAAAAATAACTACAGAAATAGAGAAAAAAAAAGTTTCGAAAATCTATAAAAATACATAAAGTAAATGTTTTCCCATGTTGAGTTTATGACAAGTTTATAACCATCAACAAAATGAGAATGCCACGCACATCTTGTTTTTATAGAAAAATAATAACATATCAATTTCAAAATATTTTCATAATATTATGAACATATATTTACAAATATTTAAATAAACTTAATTGCACTATTTTTGGAAATATTATCACCTAAGGGTTTAGGAAATATTAACCCTGGCTTTATGCAATTTTAACTGAATTGTCAATATGTACTCAACTTTGAAATTGGATGAAAGAATGGATGAAAATATTTATAAATGAATGAAAGACAGAAAATGAATAAATAAACTACAGAATAGTAGGTTAATCAATGAACTTGAATGCATCAACAGGAGTCTGGGTCAGGTTTTTTGGAGTATGACGCTCTTAGTTTAGGACTATCCGATCTAGTACCGCCAGCCAGCAGCCAGAAGGACATTTTTGCAATGGTAAATAATTGAATATCCCTGAGTAAACTCCATGCCAGATACTGGAAACCAGCATAACTGCTGTGGTTCGCAAAGGTTTGTAGGGAAATCTAAAAAATATAAATAAAAAATAAAGATCATTTTCCAATTAAATATTTTTTTTTATATTAAGATATATTAATTAAGATCTAATCTTTCAATTTGTGCCTTTTTGAAAACATAACAAGCATAAGCCTGGTTTGGAACTACTGTCCTCTAAAAATGTGAGAAAATAAATAAACACTTAACATTTTCAAGTTTTACCCAGACAAAATTTGTCCTCCCCCCAAAACAAAAACATCTAAAATTAATAAAGTACAAAAGTTAACTAAAATATTGTCTAAAAGAATAACCATTTCGACTTTAAAATAAGAATTCAAAATTACAGAAACTTTTGCTGTTGATTAAATTATTTTCCTTTTGTCGAGTTTCATTTCTTCTTCATAACTTCTAATTTTAATCACATGAGATATTAATTTTGAAAATGAAAAGCAAAATACGTGAATAATAAAGTTAGATGGGAGGAAGGTGGGGATGAGTGGAGGAATTATATATTGTCATAAAGAAAACGGACAAATATGAATAAATTCAATATGAACATTCCCTGGGGCATCATAAATACAAAAGACACTTACAATATTTACACAAGACTTTATAAAAATAAAATCTTAATAAAAATGAAAAAATCAAAATTTTTTTAAAATGGTGTAATCTTCATATAAAAAATGCCTTCCCTTTAGAATTAAGATGACAATGCAAAAATTAAATTGCAAAAAATATAATTTTTTCACATACATTTGTATAATTTTAACTTGCCCTGTATTCCGAATCAAAATTGGAGGCAAATCGTTTAAGGAGTTCATTAGTTATGATTGGAAGTACAAACAACGCACGGACGACAAAAAGAGATACTACTTAATAATTACAGTTATTATACAATATACATTTGCTTTCATTGGTTTTGTCAATTAAAAAATTAACTATTTAAAACTTTGATCCTTTTTTTGTTAAACAGAATATAAATGAAGTAATGATTAATGATAAAAAATGTAGAATATGCACGCAGTGGTAACAAAAACAAACATAATGATTGTCATCTCCTGTATTTCTTTTCAGTTTCAGCTAAGAATTTTATAATATATAACTGATTTATTCCAACATATTTGAAAATGGTCGTTAAAATTGTTTTTAAAGTCCGTAGATAAACTTTACATCTAAAGTAAAAATGAAGACAACAATCTTCCAGTTATTTATTTACCACCGTACCTTTTATACACTGTTGAAACCAGCCAGTGCTGAACTGTCATATTCCAGGATTTCAACGCTTCTCTCATCGTTGGAACAAAATCAGCTGCCCATTCATCTGGAATTAAAAAATCAGCTGCCAATTCATCTGGAACTAATTAAATCAGCTGATAATTCATCTGGAATTAATTAAATCAGCTGCCAACTCATATGGAACTAATTAAATCAGCTGATAATTCATCTGGAATTAATCAAATCAACCGACTATTTATTATTTGGAATTAATTAAATCTGCTGCCCATTCATCTGGAATTAATTAAATCAGCTCCCCATTTATCTAGAATTAATCAAATCAGCCCCCATTCTTCTGGAAAAAATAAAATAATATTTTTTATTAATTTTCATTATATTAATCAAAAACATTAAATTCAAAAAGGAAAATTTTAGGGGACTATTGACGTATTTCAAGTGGAACACCACTTACAGCTATTTAAGTATTTACTTGGTCGGTTCAGAAGAATATTTGTATCTGTAAGAGTGAGCACTATTGTTGAGTTTGTCTGTGCTCCTCAAATCCGCAAGTCGCTTTTACAGAGAAACCGCGATTTGAAGTGAGAAAAAAAACATTAATACCCCAATAAATTTGTAAGGGTATCATTGTGAAAAGAACATTACAGGGGTAACTTAAGTCTCTTAAAATACTTATGCCCTGTATTTCCTCCTCCCTATATAATTTAAACTGTATTCAAGAATAAAAAGAATCTGATTAGGAAGCTTACTAAACTTTACAGAAGGAAAATTCAACTTTTTACTCTATTTGATTTTTCATTTATACTTTATAACATTTCCCACAATTAACATATAATTTTTAGATTAAAAACAATGTGAAAATCACTGATTAAAGCTCAAACATAAAAGTTTTTTAAACACGATTTCGAAGATTAAATACGATATTTTAATTTTAAAATTGTCATAAATTAAGTGCAACATTCTGTTTACATACGCCATACAAACATGAATATTGAATATCATCCATGATTTACTAGTAATTTAATTTTAAAATTGGACTCTCGGCTATTTTGTTTCTTTGAATCCAATTTGCAAAAAATAAAGTTTTTTACATGAAATTCACCGATGGAAACATAAAAATCCGCGAAGCGCTCATGAAGCCTATATTTACCTATATTGTGCACAGTTTCAAAATTTATTTCAGTTTTCTTGTCAAAGATTTCTAAGGCTTCCTCGTTTCTTGGTCCCTGGAATTGATATCAGAAAGAAAGGTTAAAAAAGGATCCATATGTCATGCAGAAAACCCCACAGGATGAGACTTAAAGGACATCGTAAGAAATGTATTCTAATGAGTCCCTCCAGCTTTACACAGTTATTTCCTTACAAAAAAATTAAATCCCCTTAAAAGACTATTTTCAAGTTAACAATTAAAGTTCAAATTTAAAAGTTTGACTGTGAGCGTAATTTCAAGTGACCTTCCATGTAAGATCTGATAATTCCTGTACGTTTTCCTTCAGTTGAAATGCACAAGTCCCTTTTTTACTGAAACCAGTTAAAAATAATCAGTTTTCAAAAGTATAAACATTCATATCTAAATCAAACTTGATCAGACAAAGCTTTTAAAGAAACCGGATCGGGCATTGCAATCTTTGCATGGAGGGTCACTTGAAATTACGATTGAGTCAATTTAAGGATTTTCAGGTCGTCAATGGATTGGAAACTCCTTCGTAACCTATTTTTTTTATTAAGTTTTGCCGGGATAAATCAATTTTAAATTTCTTTAAAAAGATTATAATATTCAATAAAGATTGGAATATTGTTTTGTTTCATTTCGTGATGATATTCCAAACCATTGCTTAAGATCCGGATCCGTTGGATCCGCAAGATTTTGGCTTCCTGGATCCGGATCCGCAAAAATATGCGGATCCACGGATCCAGATCCAAGAGCTAAAATATCAATCAAAAACTGAAAAAAAAAATTTTTTACTCCTTAACCCCAAATCTGAACTTTTGAAAAAAGAGAGATTATAAAAATTTCCCCATTTCTGAATGGTTTATCAAGTTTTAGGATAAAAATAAGCGAAAGAAATAAAACAAAAAATTTGAAAATTATTTGTTAAAAAAATTCAGTAAATAACCTGGATCCGGATTCGTATCCATTTTTTTCCAGTGCGGATCCAGGATCCGCATCAAAATTAAATGGAATGGATCCTAAGCACTGTTCCAAACCAATTATTTAGAAATATTTCCTCAGTTACCAAGATGGTTTAAAATTTTTTTTTCATCTAAATTTGAATGCTTTAAATTTAGAAACTGTTTTTGTTGTTGGATGGAATAATGTCCACAATCTACAGATTGAAAACAAAGTAAGAGGGGATTAGCTGTAAGAGGAAAAAGGGGTAAATATATAGATAGAGATGTACATCGTTGGTTTAGTTGGGGTTTAAAACAAAAGTAGTATTAAGGCTTTTAAAGAGAATGTTCTGCGTGATTTAAAATTAAAAGAGGGACATTTATGCTTTTGTAAATATCCCATAGTTAAACATAGTCAGTTTTCTAAATTATAAACATGGTAATATGATTCATATAGACTAGACAAAGTGTTAAAGGGTACCATTGTAAATCGGGCAATGTCATCTTTAAATGGAGGGTCACTTAAAGTTACGGTTTCTTTGGGAATTCCACAAGATTCTGAAATGTTCAGCATATTTCACCATTTAAGATTGCTTCTATTGTAATTTGCAAAATTTATGATTTTAACGAAAACAATTTAGCAAAATGATCAAATTAATCATTTTACTTTTTAGTGTTCACTTTCATGAATTGTGCACAATATACAAAAACAATTTCGAATTTTATAAAAAAAATCAGACTCTTGTTAATTCTTTTAAAAACATGTGAATTGTGAATTTCTAAAAGAGAAACGTTGTCATCTCTAATCCTTATACCTGGCCAGGTCTTGGATTAGAATTGACGGGATAAGCTCCTACTCCAGCACTTATACAAGCACATTCAGATAAACAAAATCCAGCATATATCCTCATCCTAGTATAACAGTATCATTATTAATGATGTAAACAAACAATAGTATCATTATTATTGGTGTATACGGATAGTATCATTATTATTGGTGTATACAGATAGTATCTTTATTATTGGTGTAAACAGATAGTATCATTATTATTGGTGTATACAGAAAGTATCATTATTATTGGTGTATACAGATAGTATCATTATTATTGGTGTATACAGATAATATAATCCTTATTTGTGTATATGGATAGTATCATTATTATTGATGTATACAGATAGTATCATTATTATTGGTGTATACAGATAGTATCATTATTATTGGTGTATACAGATAGTATAATCCTTATTGGTGTATACAGATAGTATCATTATTATTGATGTATACAGATAGTATCCTCATTATTGGTGTATACAATCATTATCATTGGTGTATACAGATAGTATCATTATTATTGGTGTATACAGATAGTATCATTATTATTGGTGTATACAGATAGTATCATTATTATTGGTGTATACAGATGATATAATCCTTATTGGTGTATACAGATAGTATCATTATTATTGGTGTATACAGATAGTATCATTATTATTGGTGTATACAGATAATATCTTTATTATTGGTGTATACAGATAGTATCATCATTTTTGGCTTATTCAGATAATATCATCATTATTGGAGCATTCTATGTCATCAACATGATATTTTTTGCTTGTTTGATTGGATCAATCGGGCCATTTTTTGTATGATCTTCAGGAAAAAGCTCGGTCTGGAAATTTACCTTAAAAACGAAAATGTCAAGCTGTTTAAAAATTGAAAAAAGGATAATCTTAGATTTTTTTTAATATGTCGTTGATCAATTATGTACAAAGGAAAATGATTGCGCCAAATAGAGCTTTCCAAATCAAAAGTATTCGCTAGTTCTATTGTTTAAGCAGTTTATTGGGGAAAACTGGGTTACCAAACTAATCATATATTATATCACTAGCTTTGGAACCCAGCTTGGCCTGGAAAAAGGTCAAACAAGTAAACTTAACATCTTTAAACTCAATTAAGATCATTTTCGTGGGTCTGCCGAATTCTCAAATTGAAAATAGAGACAAAACAGTCGAGGGTTGCAAGAGTTATGATCGGACATCAAACCAGAAAGACAGAGGTTACTACTATTTATATAAAAATACTAGCTTGGAAACCCAGCTTTGCCAGGGAGCTTAACTTAATATAGAAGGATCAAGAGAGCCAAAATGTTGCGGATTCAAAGGATCCGGATCCTAAGCACGGATTATATAGATATGTAGATAACATGAGAGAATCATGAATTGGTAGATATATGAAGGAACAAAAATGGAGAGTAAAGTTTAAATATGTATGATGGGGTAACCTTTCTGGATGGGATTGGATATAAATAATATATTTTTCTGAAAACATTGGAAAAAACATGTTGTTTTAATAATATCTATCTGAATAAAATTTGATTACACGTAAATCTCTGATGAACAAAATATTAAATGTTCGCTTCTTTCAAATATATTTTTCGCTGATACTTCATGGGATCTTAAGTGTAAGTTTGAAAAAAAGAAAAAAAGACTTAAATTAACAACTTTTTCATTCTGTACTTGAGAAAAATTTAACAAAAACATGTCTGAAGATTTTTATAAAAGTTTCTTTTACAAAGTTAAAGCAAAACATATATTATAAAGTAACTTAAGATCTGGTTTATCTTTCACAAAGCTTTTTAGGGTACAGTTGTGAATAGAGCATTACCATTTTTGCATGGAGGGCTGCTTCAATTTACACTAACAGTCCCTTTAAGAGTTTTTATGTAGATGAAAGAGAGGAAATTGTATGATATTCAAAACATCTCGCACTGCAAAAAGTGCATATTGATTTCAGCCGTGCAATTAACATGATGTGCAATCTATCGCATTTTTTGTGAGAAACTGCTCACACTCTTTTGTTCTACGCGTCCTGTGAGCCTAGGGTAACATGATCTTAACTCAGACTATAATCATGTGAGTTATTTCGCACAGGTATGTTTGCAAGGTAGCCCTAACATCCTGTGCGAAATATATTTCTAGTAATTAACACTTTGTGCCTGAGGTTTAACATTCATCACATCCTGTGCGATGGCAGTCACATTGTGTGAGCTGACAGTCACATAAAAAATGCCGAAATCCCGNTAAATGTTTAATAAATGTTTAATAAATGTTTAATAAATGTTTATTAAATGTTTAATTAATGTTTAATAAATGTTTAATATATGTTTAATAAATGTTTAATAAATGTTTAATAAATGTTTAATAAATGTTTAATAAATGTTTAATAAATGTTTAATAAATGTTTAATAAATTTTTAGTATTTTCAAATTAAGTATTAAACTTTTATGAAAAGATTTAATTAAAAAGAAATTAAGTCTTTACAACAAACTCAAATTTTTCTAATCCCATTTGCAGCCTGTTGGTGTAAACCTTAGATATTTTAAACTTAGATTATGGCAATGGTTAGAGACTTATTTTCTAATGTCAAACGTTCATTAAAATATATATATATATCTTTTTTTCCAATTTTGCAAACAACAGTATAAAGGCCGTACTTAAAAAAAAACATTGATAATATCAATAAGTTACTAAACTTTACTAAACGTTTAATAAATGTTTAGTAGTTTTAGATTAAGTATTAAATTTGCATGAATAGATTTAATTAGAGTCTTTGCCACAAACTCAAATTTCCGAATCCCTATCTCTTTGCAACCTGTTGGCGTAAACCTAAGATATTTCAAACTTAGTTTATGATTTATCAGAGGTTTACACCATAAGTTTGCCAAATTAAGTTAGAAACAAAACTCAATTCCTTTACAGAACAGGCCAATATTGAGAGAGAGAGGATTGAAAGATAGCCTTGAATCTTTGATAGTTCTTTAATAGCATAATATGGTTTAACCTCTTTGTATCTTCATAATCATACAAAAAAAATCGATGTTCAAGACTTAATATTTTTTTTCAGGATTATTTAAATTACCAAGCTCATGAACTAATGCCGCATTTTATATCAAGAACATTCTTAATTTTTGTGGGCAGACAGTTGTAAAAAATTATAGTTATGGTCTACAAAAGTGTACAAAATGCCGGGTTATAATTTTAAGAATTTTGTTGAACGGGGGGAAATGAAAAATTGGACTTCATACGACAAGTTTAAAAAATCCTTCCAAATACTTTTGCCCAAAAGACCAATTGTTTGTTTATGCATTATACTATCCGAAGACCGTACTGCCACAGAATTTTCCCCAGTTCAACGAAAAAAACACAAAAAATGTTCCGCTCCGCACAAACATTCTCAACTTCTAAGGGAAAAAAAATGTTTGTTTTTTTTTAACAGAAAATATTCACCCTAAAAAGATGTGAAAAAGGTTGACCTGAAGTTAAAAAATATTGGCATCATGTAAAACAGTTTCCAGAGGAAGGAAGATTCTTGAATCCAAACCTCAGTTTCAACAATATTAAGAGGGAAGAAGTATCCTAAAATAATATAAAGGGACTGTAGACTGTAAGTCACTTTCCATCTGTAGATAGGCATGTCCCTTTCTCAACGGTACGGTCGGAACCCTGCCTTTAAACCTAGAATTAAGTAAACAATGAGGAAGATATTGTGGTTTTCTATATGCACTGTTGTATGCTGGAAATTTACTTCATTGAATATGCAGCAAAAATCCGCAACGCACTTTTACAGAAATATTAAAATTTAAAATTTTTTATTTCCAGTAAGAATAACTAGAATATATTATTCTTATTTGACCTGACAAAGATTTAAAGGGTACCAATGTCAATCAGACAAGCCACTCAATATATGGAGGGAAACATCAAATTACGTCGACAGTCTTTGATCTTGAAACCCCCATTGAAAACATAGATTTTCCCTTATCCAGGGGGGGAGAAGAGCACCAAAATCTCCACACTGCATTTGCAGATGTCTTCCCCACGGCATAGTGCATACGTCCCAGGACAATTTGACAATGCTTTTAGGTCCGTTTATATTTTTTTTTTTTTTACTTTTTACTATATTTAACAGCTGAAAGTGCTCAGTCTGTATATTTCTTTTCTCAAATAGTCTACTGCAACCTTTTTACTCATTTTCTTAATTTATTTAGAGTTTTTATCTTTAATAAGTTTGTATTTCAAGAGTTGTTTTTTTGAAATTCTATTTTAAAGTGATGCAAATCTAATAAATTTCCTCTTTGTTTTACTAAAACCTTTTTACTGCGCATAAAATGTAATTGTTTTTTTGTATAAAGAGAAAATTAAGTTTGTGTACATTTAAGAATACACAGAATCTTTTACATAAATTTCAATGGGAACCAGAGCTTCCAAAACTTTCCCAGGGGGGGGAGTTACCAACTCCTATGCATTACAGCAAAATAAATGTCAGGTCTAAAATATACTTGATTAAGCAGAATGTTATTTTGACATGATTACTATTGATTAGGTAGTGATGTAAATTGAATAATTTTTAGATATTTTTAAAATATGTTTCAAAAGAAATCCTAGGATTTTGCATCAAGTATTGATTTGTCCATTTTTAATTTGTATCCTTCCTTAGAACTTTATCTACGAGTAACATTCAGTGTTAATGTAGTTTATTTTTTCTTATTATCATCCCCCCCTCCCCCCCTCCCTTAGAATATCATTAAAAGTAATAGAAATGAGGAAAATGACTCGATTGTCGAAGTCCATTTTTCTCTTGAATTTGTCAACCGCCTCCGTATCCCCCCCCCCCTTACCATAGTTGTGGAAAATTCTGAATATATAAACCCACGTCTTTTTCTTAGTCGAGAATTCTGACAAAGTTAAAATTAATTTTAAACATTATTTTTCTTAGAAAAAAGGCTTTCATAAATTTCAGGAATATTTAAAAGAAATACCTTTTATTTTTTACAAACTAAATATTTTCGTTTCATAAAGGTTTAGTTGCCAAAAAAATTTTACCTGAGATTAGAAAAGCCCCAATATAAAAGGGAATATTTCGAGCTCTGAAAAATCGAAGTTTTATAAATAAAAATCTCATTTTTTTAAAAATCTTTTTTCGATCTGCGCATTTTCAAACACCATAATTATCAATCTCTTTTCTAAAATAAACCAATTAAAAAAAACTATAATTTGACCACACCATAAAATATGCATATGTGAATAAATCTTTATAATATAATAATACACATGGGAGGAACAGCTATTTTAATAAATACGATTTTGTAATTTCTCAGTTATTACTCTGAAAATGTACTTTTGGCTTTTATAAAGAGATATGGCTTGTCGTAGTCAGTAATTACAAATAGTAAATCATTCACACAATTAATGAAGAAAGAGAAATGACGACGAAAATTCCATCGTTCATCACTATAGGAAATTTTTCAATATAACTTCAGAAAACAAGGAATCTTTAGAAAACGAGGAAAATGAGAAAACTTGATATTTTTATTTTAAAATAATTTCTAAATTAGTTAGTCCTTGAATAGAACATGTTTTAAAAATCTTAATTTACGGTAAATATCTGATTAATTATTCCATAGTTTCTGGTTAGATAGACAGTATGAGTAATGTCAAATGACCCCCTATACAAAGATGGCAAATCTAAATTGACAACAGTACCCTTGAAAGCGTTTTCTGATGATACAACAATAAGATATCAATGTTTACTGTTCTGTAAAATGATTGTTTCTCTATAAAAAAAAAACTTTCTGCTGTAGAAAGAAATAGAAATTAACAGAATATAATACTTTCTAATTTAATCTGATGGTACCATTCTGAATTAAGCATTGTTTCTTTACAAGAAGGGTCACTTGAAAATATGTATATGAATGAAAAATACGCGGAGATCCGAGCAGGGAGTTGGGTATTTGGATTTTATTTAAAACTTAGGTTTCCTTTTATATAATGCTGTATTTATGGCCGCCTCGTTTTCTCCTGTAACAGCGGGATTCCAGCAGTCTCTAAAAATTAAACATTAATTTTTAACAATTCAAGTAATAAAAAATATTGAAGCTTTTCTGTTTTATGGTGGATTTCCAAAATATTTCAAATATAAAATTTTGAATTGGTAAATTTGTATTTGTGGTAAATAAACCTCCTTTAGGGTCATGTGAATTGTGAAGTTCGGGTCGTTTCAGCCGTTTAGGTGGTACAAGCAAACCTAACAAGTCTAAATAAACAGTGGACAACTATGGATGGTTGGTCGTCTTCGTTTCTTTTATTTACTGAATAAATATCCCGAGGGGTTTTGTAATTTGTTGCATATATTTCTAACAATAAACCAATCACTTCTTAAGAAATGCTAAAGAAACTGACCTAGAGGTATCAAGATCTATCCTAGAGTTTTGCAAGATCTATTTATTTTTAAGATCTAATAAGTTTTAGGTCGGGAAAGCCTCAAGCAGCGGTGTAATTTTTTTAAAATTATCACCATACCTAACTTCTGGGGGTAAAATAATAATTTTAAAAAATGGGGTGAGGGGTGGTGATTTTTTAATAAAATATATACCCCTGACCTCAAGTCTGAACACACCTAGGTCAGTTTCCACTAGTTCAGATGAGCCTCAACAATAGCTAAGTCACAAATTACAAAATGTTTAATGAACAGAAAAAAGACGTTTTCTGGTTCTCACTGTTTCCACAATTATTATTGAAATTGTGAAACCTAACCTGTATATTCCTTTCCAAACACTAAACTTCAAGTATGGACCTAAAAGAGGAAAAAATAAAAAAAATGAGATCATTATTTATTTTAAAACTTCAAAGCTTTTTGGTGAATTAAGAATAAATTTGGCACTGCCAACTTGCGGATTTTTTTGTCTGGGTACAGCTTGAACATAGCGCACATTGCACACCGGAATTTTTTATTTTTAGTAAAATACACGCGGGTTTCGATAAGTTTCCTGCACATATCTGCGTACACACAAAGGTTTTAAAGATTCTGTTGTACACCAGTCATTGCTAGATCTTTGCATGGAGGGTCACTTAATAGTATGCGTACAGTTCCGTTTATATGTCTGATTGTAATTATATTCTTGAAGGTTTTTGTCTAACTATCTTATTCAATTTTCATCATGTTTTGATCATGAATACTTAATAGCAAAACTTCGAAAGACTCCAGAAGTTAGTCGTATGTTTGTGCGGAAATTATTTTTTTTTATGGTTTTATTCGCTGAATTAGAGAAAAACAAACATATTTTTGTAGGAGAGTGCAAAACAGGATGAAAAAACTAGCCTTTAGAGGTCTAATTTGTCATTCCCCCCCCCTCCCTCCCCCCGTGGGCTGTAATTTTCAAAATTCTAATTCCTGATCACTACAATAAAAGAAAACACTATTTTCCGGCAACAAGGTGAAAACTTTGATTTGAAAAAATTTACTAATCCAAAAGTCGAAATTTTTCTATTGTTAATATTTTTTGTTGTCCAAAAACGCTCTCGACCAATGAGATCGTGAAATTTATGTCAGCTGTTTTAAGCGGATAAAGAACTTGATCGCTATTTAGTGCATAGTTCAGACTGCGCTTTAAAAATGCTTCGAGCAGAATAACAAGCCCAAAATTTCGGATTAGATAATTTAAAGGGACTGTCGCTGAAACTCCAAGTTACCCTTCATTAAAAGAAGGCCATGTCCGATTAATAAAGGTAACATTTACACAAGCATGTATCTGTTCACTTATAAGAACTATAAAGTCATTTAGAAATTGCTTAATTCTATATTTTTTTCTCCGCTTAAATTCGCGGCGGCTCAATCATATTTTATAAAAAAAAATAAAATTGAAAATTATCAACTTATATAACAATACATGAAAAACCATGTATGTCTCATTCATTGTCAATCAGCCAAAATTTGATCGTTTCGCCGAGATAAGGACCATCGCTCTATCCATGGTGAGCCCCTTTTTGATTTTGAATAAAAGCTGTACCTGTAATTAAACCTGCGTGATTGAGCCCATAATGAAATATTTCAAGAAATCCCGGATTCAACGCCTGAGAAAATATTTAAAGTATAAGACCAATAGGGTGCTACAATGGGACACAAAAAAACTGTGGAAGAAGACGACATTGACAATTGCTCTAATAAATTGATAACTCAAGTCGATAAGTCGTCTTCTTATTCCGCAGTTTTATGAGCCCCACTGTACAGTAAACTATACTAATGAAGGGAGGTTGGCATGTGTTTACATTTTTTATACTAGTCTTGATATTCACAGTCATAATTACTACCGCCATTTACTCAAGCTTGCTTTTAAATTATGATTAAGGCTGAAGTACCCGGCGTTGCCCGTGAAATAAAAATCCATGTTACCCCCCAGGGTAACCATATGTTCCCTCAAAAACTGAAGATCATTTGGTTCAGCGTTTTGCCAGCTATAGCTGACATATATATCTATGTATTTAATGAGCAAAAAGCTTCATTCTAAAGAAGAAGATTGTTTTATTTGTAAAATCTATTTAAGGCGATTTACAGCCTATTTAAAGAGAATATGAGACAGCAAATTGTAAGCATGAAAGACAATATTAAATATGTATTTCAATGGTTTCAATCTAAAAATATCTAAAATTAGTTTATGTTACAGAGAATAGTTACCAAGATTGAAAGATAAATGCATAAATAAGTTAATACGAAACGTACTTTTACTGCACTATCTCTTGGTTTATTTGAGGATGGATACCAATCTCATCTCTGGATATCGGACTCTGGACTCTTGCCCCTAGACACTCGACACTGGACTCTCGCCTCTGGACTCTGGACTTGGTGTAGACTCTTTGGACTACTGTCATCTGGACTCGGGACACTGGACTCGGGACTCTGGACTTTGGACTCTCGACACGGGTCTCTCTGGGATATTTAACCCATCTCCAGTGATAGTTGGCTCCATACTGATTAAACTACTTGAGTACACTACATGGGTACTGGAATAGGGTAAGGTAGTCATACAATTCTAGCTTCTGTATCTTACCTACATCATAACCCGGTACAGGGCACAAAGTGGACACTGGCGAGTATACGCATAATTGTGATTGGCATTTCTTTGGCGGTCTGAGAATTCTCCACCAATAGTTTTAATCAGTGACGTCAGAGAATACGGATCTTCCCCCCGTACCGTATCGACCTTTCATTCGTGCGCGAGCCTCGTTGGGATACCCTATTCCAGTACCCATGGTACACTAAGATAGTAATGTACACAAGAGTACTGTACAGTTAATGTGTCACTATACACATGTACCGGATACAGCTTGTAGGAAAGCTAAAGGGGGGGGGGGCAATCTGTAGATTTAATATTTGTAGGATTAACAAGTTATCTTCAGATTACACCAACCACAGGTTTTACACTCCACGGAAAGAAAAAGATAACGTGGTTAATCTGCAGTTAGAGAGTTACTGTTGAAGCAGTTGTAGGAGTAGCTCATCAAGGCTCCCCTGGTCATCCTGGTGTAGAATCATCCAACACAAGTCTCTCATCAGCATCAAATAATATTGTCACTTGCTTATTTATGCTGTTGTGTTAAAATTTGAAATGTAAAATCTATTTATGGCGATTTACAGCCTATTTAAAGAGAATATGAGACAGCAAATTGTAAGCATGAAAGACAATATTAAATATGTATTTCAATGGTTTCAATTTGCTGTCTCATATTCTCTTTAAATAGGCTTTAAATCGCCTTAAATAGATTTTACATTATAAGTGTTGTTTTCAAGTGTTTCTAGATTTATTTTCAAAAAATATTGTGACAAGAAAAGAGTTTCTACTTTGTTATTGCAAACTATTTTATTTTATTATATACATTACACATAAACAGGGTATCAAAAAACCGCTTTTTCGGTGTAAGTATTATTATAGTTATCATAAAGTAATATCTAATAATAATACGAGGTACTGCAAGAAATATGAGAATCAGGAGACAAGTTGTAAATCAAAACTGATCCCCGACAGCTAATGAATGGTATGATGAAACGAATCTAAAATTAATGGAAGCCCAATAGGCTTTCAAAGATGTGTTTATTTTTATTGTTGTGATCTTTAAAACAGGCGGGATATACAAAGGCATTTAAAAATGTTGCCTTTATTTAATAAATTAAAATCTGGACAAAAACTTAGTTTCATTTGCCATAAATAATTTTGCCAAATTTACAATTGCCATAATACATTTGCCATAAATAACACTTGCCATAAGTAACCGTTGCCATAAGTTACACTTCCCATAATGGTTACACTTGACATAATTAAAATTAAATTTAGTTAGAATTAACAAACATATATATCTTTCAGGTTTAGGTTATAATCTTCTATTAGAAGAGTATTGTACTGTAGGATAATGTTTGCAATCCTTTCATAGTGACTCTTCATCAAGCTCTTTCCCTCAGTATTTTTGCTCATATCCCTCCCTGCAGCGTTGCAGACTAGGATCCGTTAGAAAACTTAAGTTGGGAGTTTTCATGGGAAAATTTCCGGCATTTATATTTTTTTTAATTTGAAAATTATGACAAAAGTAATTATAGCGAGTGTAATTTTGACAAGTGTAACTTATGGCAAGTGTTACTTATGGCAAATGTATTATGGCAAATGTATTAAAGCAAATGTAACTGAGCCCTGCAGACAAATTCTTGAAGGTACAAAATGAAGACAACAGTTTAAAAATGTTTATTATTAAAGTTTATTACTAAAGATAAATGCATTCTGGAAAAATGTCGTATAGATTAAAGACAATTTAAACTCGACATTTAATTCCTATGTATGTAATAAAACCAATTTTCTTTCTTAAAAGTGAAAGGTCAAAATTTACCGAAAACAGTTCGACCTATCGAACTATCTAAACAAGCAACATTTTTCAGGCCATGTTCTGGTTTGAAAACTCGAAGCGAAATGTGGCACAAATAATATAATGCTCCATAAATTCAAGCGAATTCAAGGGTTAATAAAATCCAAAAACTTAATACCTTCTTTTCAGTTAAACTCTCCGCTTTGACATGTGAATCATGAACCTTAAAAAACAAATATTAAAGCTTTTAGTAGTAATTAATTTCAAAGATTATTGCATGTCTGATTCACAACGCTACCTTTAAAACTGTTTATCATCTCCCCTAAAAATTGGGTACTTTCAAATGTGGTTTCGTTGTTTATTGACTGACGCATTTCTGCTAAGGAAACTAAAGAATTTGCTATCAGAAATTAACACTTTTTTCAAGCTTAAACGAAGATATCTTTTTCAATATTAATCATATTAAGGTTTAAAGGGTATATGTTATAAATCGTGCCCAACTTTGAACGGAAGGTAAATTAAAATTACAATTTTTACAAAGACAGTCCCTTTAAAACAAAATTTTATTCTTAGTGACGTTTTTAACGAATATAGTGTTTCTCTAGAATTTTTTCATCTGCTTAATGAGAACTAAATTAGTTCGTTCTTTGAAGAACGAAAAAAGATATTCTTTTCAATACACATTTTTTACTAGTTTCTTTAAAATGTATTCATCCACTTATAGTTATTAGGAATGAAATGGACTCGTTCTTTGAAGAAATTAAAAAAAAACACTTGTTAAGTTTTTCCTTTGTTTTTCGTGGTACTAATGTTCATCCTATCCCATGAATCCTAGGAATGTTAATTTCATTATCAAATTGGGAAATAATAGATAATTTTGATCAATAAGCTGTTAAAAGTACTTAATTCTTAAACTGACCTCTTGTTGAATGATCATATAAAACCTAATGAACCCAAATAAACCATAAACCATACCAATATAACCCAATACTACCCAATATAACCCAATATAACCCCTTATTTTGTTTATGCATTATACAATCCTTCAAACAAGTGACGAAAACATTCGTTTTCAGGATTTTCTCTTTCTAATAACATTCCCATAAAATTTCAGTATAATATACCTAAAATGGCCATTCGAGAGTTTCTTGAAAAAAAAATAATGAAAGAAATAAACAATTTAACCCTGTTAACATTGGTATTTATTGTGTATGTTGTTAATTTCCAAAATATAACTAACGAAAATTACTTACTAATAATTTAAAATTACCATAACCAAAAGTACCAAAAAACATAATTACAATTGCATAAATTTTCAATATTACGAAAAAATGGGATATTTTTAAAACATTTTGAGATGGCGAACTGGCCGCCTATAAGAGTATGGTATAAATACTTTAATACTTTAATCAAAAAACTCTATCTGAGAAAAATGAATGGGTCCAGTGCTCCGTGAACACAGAACCCACACCGGGGTGCTAATCAACCCTATCATTTTTTATCCCGTTCATAAAAAATATAAAAATTTAAAAAATATATGAAATCAGTCTAACTTCAGTAGGATTGATAGTTATTTCGTCCTTAAGATAATGTTCCCTCCAGTTTACAATTTTTTAAAAGAAATTATCGCATTTTTCTAATGCTGAAATGATGTGCTATGGTTTCTTTTCCGGTACTTCGGATAGAAGATAATATCTGTGTGTGTTTGATTTTAGTGAAGACCGCTTTCTAATCTTGTTGAAGCCCTGTTTGTAATAAAATAGTTCAAAAATTTCCCATTTCATTTTCGTTCAGACTTACTTTACAATTCTTCTTGTTTTTCCCTTTAAAATTCGTTCTGTTCCGTTTAAGTTTTTATTATGACATTAGCTGTTTAAGAACTTTAGTTCCTTTCTTAACTTCTTATGTTTACAGTTTGAGGCCCCTCACATATTATCAATTTTTATACCCAGAATTTTAGTTCCTTTTAAAATTTTGATGTTTACATTTTTCTGCCCCTTAAATAAAATTACAGAACTTTAATTCCTTTTTTAAATTTAGCTATTTCTTACACTTACATTATATAATATCTCTTTTTACAGAACTTCCATTCCTTTTTAATTTGCGCTTATCAAAATTTGTTTTAACATGAACCTAACAGGGCATCAACAAACAGTGGTCGACCTTCTAATGACCTATTACGACCTCTAATGACCTAAATGACCTCCAAAAATGAAAATGTTTTAACTATGGCTTTACGCATATCGATTAAAAGCTAGGAACCCCAGGAATACAGTAGCAGCAACGAATTCGGTGTTAACCTTCTAATGACCCCTGACAACCTCTAATGACCTAAAATGACCTCCAAAAGAAAAGTGTCTTAAATATGGCGTTTGCAAATCAATCGAAAGCTAGGAACCCAGGGCATACAGGAGCAGCAACAAATCCAGTGTTTGACCATCTAATGACCTCTAATATCCTAAAATGACCTCCAATCACTGGATTCATTGCAGCTACTGTATTCCATGGGTTCCTAGCTTTCGTTTGATATGCTTGATCAAAAGTACCAAAAATATATTTAACACTTGCATAGATTTTCAATATTACGAAAAAATGGGATATTTTTAAAAACTGGCCGCCTTTAAGAGTCTGGTGTAAACCAATAACCCAATAAAACCCATTAGAATCCTATGAAATCAAAAAAATTTTATTTTTTATTTTTTATTTTAACAATAATCTATAAATAAATAAATGATTTCAGATGAAAATACTTTGACTTTTTTATATTTCTTGTTCTTAATTTTCTTCTTCTTTGTACACCTATCATCATATTTCGGCTAATTCAAAAAAATTGGGACAGCCTAGCAGTTGCCATGCTGCTAGCTTAAAACTAGGTTGAGAGGCTCCTGCTTTCCTATTTTTCTTACCAATGTTTTGGCTCGTGTGTTCTTTTTATCTGAGTCGATCATTGCTGCTTCAGTGAAAAGAGTTTATTGCTTTAATCAGAAATGATAACACACAGTTGATCAGGCTCCTTTCAGCATTATATTTCCTGACGGGGGTATTTTCTACGTTTTGAGGCCAATAAACCCCTATAAAATCAAATGAAACCCAGTCAAATCCAATAAAATCAAATATAACCCAATCAAATCCAATAAAATCAAATAAAACCCAATAAAATCAAATAAAACCCAATAAAATCCAATAAAACCCAATAAAATCAAATAAAACCCAAAAAAATCTAATAAAACCCAATCAAATCAAATAAAACCCAATAAAATCAAATAAAACCCAATAAAATCAAATAAAACCCAATAAAATCAAATAAAACCAAAAAAAATCCAATAAAACCCAATCAAATCCAATGAAACTCAAAAAAATCCAATAAATCCTCCCCGTCTCGGCTTTCAATAAAAAGGTTCTTATCCAACCCTCTTTTCTAGAAATGACAAACAAAATGATCTTTTCAATCTAAATATTTGTTCTAAATCCCAGCACATATCTCTAAGACTAAGATGTAATTAATTTCATTTATTAATTAATATTTTTGCTATCTTGATGAAAGTGTGATAGAAACTTTTCTTTTTTACTTCAGTGCTGTTGCAAATCTAAATTAACGAAGAACTAATGGGAAGATTCATATTTAATGAGAAAAAGAAAGTGTTTATTAAAAGAGATGAAACTAGAGAAATTCTAATGAATAATTAAAAAATATAATTCCGCCTTAGAGCAATAAAACCTAACCCAACTAACAACTTTATATTTATGATACACAATAACCAATACAAAGAATAGAATGGAAATTTTATAAATGTCGTTTTTTATATTCAATTTTAACGGATATTGTATATTTTATGAATCAATGACACTTTATATCAACAATTAAACAATGCAGTTTTTCAGGTTTTTTATTAATCTTTACAATAAATAAATTTATTGGATTCTGGAAAAAACTTCAATCTCCAACACGTAATTTCTTATTATTTTTAAGCAAAATTTGACAGGTTGGGAAAATGCGAACAGGTTATGTTCATATAAACATTTAGAAATTGTTTGTTGAATATGGAACAAATTCTTCCATCTTATTTTAATATACATGTATTTTCTAAGTGATCAAAATAAGTCCTCTTAACTCTAACAATCGTAATGTTTTTTCAAAGATTGTCACCAAAATTCTGAATTAGTCAATTTTTGGGCCGAGCGCTGCGGCCAGAATAAGTACTACAGCCATTATATTACCAATGATAATTATACTTTTTTGGCACCTTCCTGGCTAGACAAGGGGCTGGTTAAAGGGACTGTCAGCGTAATTTCAAGTTACCCTCAATATAAAGCTGGGAATAACATATCGGTGTCCTTTCCCTAGTAGTTATTAGCGAGTCACTTTTGAATCACAATTGAAAATAATCAGTTTTTATAATCATTCATTCATTCATTCATTCATTCATTCATTCATTCATTCATTTGTTTTTTCATCTTTTCATTCTTGATCAAACAAAGCTTTTATGGTTAACGTTCTGGATACGACATGGCCATCTTTCAATGGAGGGTTTTCTTAATTACGTATTAAACAGTCCGTTTTAAAAAAAATAATCCCGTTCTGCTTTGAATTCCATACTTCACCTCAAATGCTAGCCCTATGAGCTTGAGAGTAAGTATCATGATAATAGCACTGGTATGCGCAGGTGGGATAGGTAGACCCAACTCATCGGAAAATCGGTACATGAGCAGGTACATGAAGCTTAACACCAGGCTGTACATGTGACACACTCTAAAAAAGAAACCTGTACAGTTTTTTAGAGAGTATCTGTGTTTCGAAAAATACACAGAAATTTAAGAAGTATAAATTGAATCATAATTTTCATTATTTTAAAGACAATATAAAAGATACATAGAATAGCTAAAAATATCACACAAATTTTCTGTTGCAAAGGTTCTGGCTTTGAACTTAAGTATTTACGGGTTGGGTTGATAAAAAAATATTTTAAAATATATTATTAATATTAAGAGGAAGGGAGCAGTTCATTAAAATTTACACATTTTCTTATAAATTTCTGATCGATTAATACTTTACCTGTGACTAGCAAACTTGATTATAAAAGCGTTGATAAGAATCTCGATAAAAAGATGGATGACATGAAAACCAGATACAAGGGTGGCAAACAGTATTCCAACCAAGGTTGAAGAAAACCTGGAAAAGCGTTGATAAGAATCTCGATAAAAAGATGGATGACATGAAAACCAGATACAAGGGTGGCAAACAGTATTCCAACCAAGGTTGAAGAAAACCTGGAAAAGCGTTGATAAGAATCTCGATAAAAAGATGGATGACATGAAAACCAGATACAAGAGTGGCAAACAGTATTCCAACTCTTCCAACCAAGGTTTAAGAAAACCTGGAAAAAAATAAAAACTACTTTTTGAAAATGCTATGCACTATCATTCATGCTCATGCATGTTATACTCGATTTCTTTATAGTAGATGTTAAAAAATAAACAATAAAAGAAAATTAAGAAAATTTAAAAAATTTGTCAATTATTAGTCTCTATCTGAGACAAAATTTAAAAGATTAAGTATAGCAAGGGATAACATTTTATCTGAAGTTAATCAAGAGAGAATTTCATTTTTTCTATTCTTTTACATGCAATAAAAAGGGACCGTAACCGAAATTTAAGTTAACTGTTATGCCTCATTCACAAGGATACCCTAAAAAGCTTTGTCTGATCAAGTATGAATTAGATATAAATATTTTGTTTTATGAAAATGCAACGGGATCTTCCGCAGTTTTAATCAGGTTAAAGTTTTCAGGGTACCGTTGTAAATCGGGTATTGCGATCTTTTCATGGAGGGTCACTTTTAATTACTCTTACAGTATCTTAAATCTGACAATCGTAACAAAATCAGTTATATTCTACATTTTCACAGTATTTAATTTAAATAAAATAAAAAGATTCTCTTAATCTTTTCAAATTTTATATACTTGTCTTAATTAATCAAAAAAAAGAACATTTTATTACCTTCTCAACTGAAACCCACTTTGTGTTTGAATAGGAATATAACGGATAAGTTTTCCTGAAAATAATGGGAGTCAACCTTCCAATTCAGTTGAAATAAAAAATAAACGATATCTGGGTGCTATTGGGTGTTGGGAGTCAATCTCCCAATTCAGTTGAAATAAAAAATAAACGATATCTGGGTTCTATCGAGTGTTGGGAGTCAACCTTCCAATTCAGTTGAAATAAAAATAAAGCGATATCTGGGTGCTATTGGGTGTTGGGAGTCAATCTCCCAATTCAGTTGAAATAAAAAATAAACGATATCTGGGTTCTATTGAGTGTTGGGAGTCAACCTTCCAATTCAGTTGAAATAAAAATAAAGCGATATCTGGGTGCTATTGAGTGTTGGAAGTCAACCTTCCAATTCAGTTGAAATAAAAAATAAACGATATCTGGGAGCTATTGAGTGTTGGGAGTCAACCTTCCAATTCAGTTGAAATAAAAAATAAACGATATCTGGGAGCTATTGAGTGTTGGAAGTCAACCTTCCAATTCAGTTGAAATCAAAAATAAACGATATCTGGGTGCTATTGAGTGTTGGGAGTCAACCTTCAATTCAGTTGAAATAAAAAATAAACGAAATCTGGCTGCTATTCAGTGTTGGGAGTCAACATCCCAATTCAGTTGAAATAAAAAATAAACGATATCTGGGAGCTATTCAGTGTTGTTAAAGTTAGACATCTCAATAAAAACATTGTAAAACTTTTTACTTTAAAGATGCTTCACAATTATCTGATATGTTCACAATTTTTTTTTAATTATTCCATCAAAATCCCTTTTAATAATCGAATTTTCGCACAATACACAATCTGGGAAAATGAAGACCAGCAAAGATTTTGTGGAGTCTATTAAAAGTCAGAAAACCTTTTGGGATTAAGGAAAGGTCACATACACAAGAGCTTCCGACCCGCAAATAACGTCACAAATTGCAACTTCGCGCTCTACAAACCTTTCTTCTGAAAACCGCACCTTTCCTCTGCATAATTTCGTTATTCTTATTTGCGGTTCGGAAGCTCTACAGGTGTGGGTTGCCATCCTTCCCTAGTGTAGAAATACATATAAAGTTAAGAGTTTAATCTTGGTTAATCTCTAATCATGAAACAGGTCTTTAAAATTCTATTTCAAGTGGCTTTATTCTATATTCATTATCCATTAATCAATAAGGTTTTATTTACCCCTGGAGAGATCACACAATTCTGCTAGTAATCTGTTCAGCCAAATTTCAAGTAAATCTCCTGATGTACTGTACATACTACATTGTACTTGACCCATTCACAACAGGACCATTTAAACCTTTATCTGAGTAACAGTGAGGAAGAAAAACTCGTTTTTCTATTTTAGGTTAGAAATCAATTTGCCCATTTCCTTTCTTACTCTACAGCATAAATCTGCAAGTGATTTTTTTAAACTTTAAAAAAAATTTAATTTTTAGATAGATAACAAGGGTATTTCTTCCAATTATTTATGCATTGACAAACGTTTAAAGGGTAGAGTTGTAAATTAAACTTTAAATTAAATCAACAGTCTTTCTAAATTGTCTTTTGTACCTGCAGCTATACTAGTAACTAGTACTCCAAGATACTGAATATCATCTAGTATCCCCATCTTCAGATTATAAGGCAGGTCAACTTAGAGCAGGTCAGCTAGCGCCTGCTTCACGCAGGGAATATCGGATTCACTAATAAATGTCAATTTAACAGCTTATGGGTCATCACTAAGCACTCAACAGTCCGAGAGTCATAGTTTACGAGGACAGCTGTAGATTCACATCAAATAGAAGATAGATAGATAGAGATCAAACTATTCCAATCGATATCTAAACATTATCATTATCAAAATAAATTAGATATTCATATATTCTTCATCCTATTTTTTTTTAATAAAAAAATTTTATTTTTATTTTTTTTTATAAAAAAAAATTGTTTCAGATTTCCGCTGTAAAGATTTACTTGAGAAGTAATTAACTTAGAAACGTAATAAATTAATCACTCTTTTCTACTTTTCTAATTCCTAAAAACACTAATTATTCCTACTTAGTTAGGATTCATGAATTATATCCTGTAGGCTGTTAATTATGGATTTAGGTCAAAAACAATTGAGAAATAAAAGTATCTGTATTTGTATATCTAACAAAACTAAAACGGTTACAACTGATATTTTGTTACAAGTGTTCAGAGTTCGGAAATTTAGTATGGAGTTTACGTTAATCTTGGACGCTACATTTAACTTGCAGGATATTACCACCCCGGGGAAACGATGGGAAGTAGGTCTGCATTAGATGGAGATCAATTTACTTAATCCCGAGATTTACAACACAGAAGTTCCGAAACTTTTAAGTGGAGTACCGTTAATATTGAACGCTTTAACTCGATATTTAATGTGGGCACTTCTAAATTTGAAGATCAATTCTTGATCTCTCAAAAAACATTTATCCCAGCAATCGATTCGATGAGGGGAAAATTAATCCGTGGCCGAATTTAAAGAATTTGAGCGGCGGTTTAAATTTAAGCCGCGGTTTAAATATGGTTGGTTCCACTTAAAATTGTATCAAATGTTTCAAGACTTAAGCCGGCGCTTAATTTAAACCGGGTTTTGGAAGATTTAAACCGCTGCTCAAATTCTTTAAATTTCATCTTTGTTTGCCTAAGATGAAGAATGAAGATTGCAAATTACAAAATCTAAGTTTAAGCAACATTTCATAAATAAAAGAAAACAACAATAAATCCAATAATTTCTGGTTCTTACTGTACCATGTTAAGATGTATTGTTTATGTATTGGCTAGACTAGAAAGCTTCTCATTTTTATTATATCTTAATCAGCATTATTTAAGACCCTGGGTGTGCAGAACTAGAAAATAACTAGAAGCGCATTTAGAGGGTGGGGCGGCCGACCTAACAGAAAGGCCTGTACGGAGGGGGGGAAGCCATTGGGACCGGGCCCCACCCTAGAAAAGTGAAAACTTTGGTTGCAAGGGAGGTATTCAAAAATAACCCAGCAGGGCTGACCCAATTCTATGGTGGTTGAAGCGCAGTTAGGGGGTGGAGGGCTATGGCGAGCCCCCACCATGTAAGACTAAAACCTATGGTATCCAGGGATGTATCCAGAATAAACGAGACTGACCCCCCCCCTCATTTTGTTGAGAAGGTTAAGTCAATACAGGGTGACCCAAAAAACAGGGATCAGCGGTCTTAAGCCCCAATAATCGTGAAAAATAACTCGAAAATGTGCTCTAGTATTTAGTTTTCAATTTTAGATGGGGTTGTTGAAGCATGTTTTTCTCAGCTTTTATGGACCTTAGAAATAGGCGATTTTTTTCATGGCATCAAACTGGGGCATCTTGAAGAAATAAGTTGAAATAAAAATACCACAGTAATCTTATGCAGTTTTATATTACTAAGCTTAATGTTTTTTTCTTTCTGCAATATAGATTTTAATAGAATGATAAAAATTATTAATTGTTTAGTAAACAGAGAGGTTTTAAACAATCCCATCTAAAATTGAAAAATATATACGGTGCACTTTTTCGAGTCAGTTTAAAGGATTTATGGGACTTGAAAACGCTAATCCATTTTTTTGGGCCACCCTGTACTTTACACTTTATCATGAGACTTAATACATTCTTATCAAATATTGCGGTGCAATTCTTCAAAATTTGTACTAATTGCATAACTTTTATCTAAAAGGCACTAACTTCAAAGATTTTAGTTTTCAAAACTACAATTACTCCGCCCTTGCTCATTTTATTATTATGTTTTAATTTCAATGGTCTCCATATAATCATAGATGTATTATTATTTTATGTTCTGGATTATTTATTTGTCTTATCAATTCTAAATGTTACCATTATTGCCTATGTTGAGTGTTCACTACTGCATGATAAACTAGATACTAAATTCTTGTGAAACTTGAAGGTTCAATGAGTACACATTAAACCAGCCTTTCAACCCTAACTACTTAACAATTATACCTTAGAAATGTATTTTAAGTATTCAGGATATTCCGCATAGGGCCGGACACGTTCAGACTTTTTAATCCAATCGTTAAAAAATTGAAAATTAACGGAACGTGCCCAAAGAGCCGTTCGTTTTTAAATAAGAACTGATGGTTTTTTGTTCGTTGTTCATCTTGCCGTTCGGTTGATGATCTCGACTTCAGACGGTGTTTACCAAATAGTCGTTAACTAATTCCACCGTTGTCGGTTGTTAAGTTCTTAAACGAGAGCTGTACTTCGTGATAGGCAATAACTTGGTTCGCTTTTATAATTCAAAATGTTTTGGACTGAAGTTTCTACAAGAAGTTTTAAAATTCATAATAGTTTATTTTAAACATTGTCATCTTAACACCCTGCCAAATTTGGACTCTAAGGTTTGTTACTAACTTAAACAATTGTAGTATATTTGATTTTCGTAGAAAAGGAAAACAATCCCGGGAGCAGAAAAAAACTAAAATTTTAGAATATTTTATAATAAATAATAATTTCATTTCCAATCAGCTGATTGGAACATACTTCCACAAGACTTAATGTCCCTAGGGACAAGACTTAAAGTTGAAAGGAAAACTTCTAAGAAAAAAAAATTTAAAACTACTTTAATTATACAGACATAAATTTAACTAAAAAAATTTAATAATATTTTTCCTCCATCTTTCTCAGAGTCAAAACAAGTAAAAAATCTTAATAAAGTTAATAATAGAGCATCAGTCAATAATTATTAATATATATAATCATGTCTTGAATGTGCTGGATCATCATTAATTACAATGATATTGTTCTGATAATAGATTAAACGTCATTAAAATTCATTTCCCTATGCTGATAGCTTTCAGAAAACAGGGGTTTAAAGGGACTGTAAGCGTAATTTCAAGTGACCCAATCCATGTAAAGATGGCAATGCCCGATTCACAACGGTTCCTTGTAAGTTATTGATGTTTAAAATTTTCAATACTGATTATTGTTCGTTATCTACAAAGGTGACTTGATCATTTCTTGAAATTACGCTCTAGCTAGTTTCAGAATGCAATCTTGAAATTAAACAAATACCGTTTTTAACCGAAAGCATAATGTTCAAATGGATAGGTCATAAATATGAAGTTAACTTTCATGAAGTGCAATACTCATCATAAATCCTAAAACGTGCAATCAAACGCGTTGAAAAGTTCTTTTCTTTATACAGCTGTAAAAATCCGAATTGGTTTAAAGTGTTCTCTATTTGTAGAATGCACAACTTCGACGTAGGAAGAATATTTCGTTTTTTTTACATTTTCATCAGTCCTGAAGATTAACAAGCTTGTGAACTGTGTGATCATAAAGGTACCCACATAGCATCATACGGCACAAAGACGTAAAACATGGCGATCCCGAGGTAAAATTAAGTCTTCTGCCTTGATCAAAGCCTTAAAACAAGGAAAATAACAGTTTCCAGTGCAGAGAATGTGGATATAAGGAAACAGACAGTATAAATTCAGTACAGTTGTCTGAAGTCTCATTCTTCATGTGTAACCCTGTAATCAAATTTAAAAACTGATCGGTTAAAGAGAGAGAAAAACGTTCAAGGAATCTAGGTAATTATAAAATTAGTGAAAGAAAATAACAACAAAATATGAAGTAAATTACGCTTTTCTTTGCAGTTTATCTAGGATTTAAAGTGTTTAATTATGAATTCCTATGTTTCCTTGCAGTAGAAATGCGTAAGTCACTTTAAAAATTATAAGCATTGATATCTAATTCATTCTTTATGAACAAAGCATTCACTGGTACCACCGCTGTGAAACGGGCTATCATTACATGGGGGATCACTTCACATTACGCTGAAGTCTTTCAAGTGAATTTAAATTAGTTAACAATGGTCTTTATGAAATCTAATATAAAACTTTTTTTAGAGCCTATATATATAATGAAACAAAATAGATCATCTCGACATTTCGCTTTCGTTGAAATCTCCATTGCTCGTTAATTGTATTTATTCCGTACCGTGAGTAAATTGCTGCATAAATCGAAATTCCAAGAGATTTAAAATGTCACCATTACCGTAAGGAAGTTACCAAATGACAACTAATTGAAGAAACAAAAATAAGATTAAAAGCAATATTTAAGTTACGAAACTAAAGGTTTTAAGGTGGTATTAAATATCCCGTGCAACTCTTTCTACATCCATCTGTGTTTTTACTCCACATATGTTTACGTCCATCAATATCCAGAAGAAAATGGGTTATGGAAACTAAAGATTTAGAAATGCCGTTAACAATTTACTTCTGAAAGAGATTTTCTCGTTAATGGCACCGTTAAAAAAAATAACCGTAAAAAATCGACATCTAACTACTGACATAAATAAAGCAACATAATCCATTCCTACACCTCCTCACCTTTATTCATACACTTTATTCATACATTATTCCGACATTTCTGAAAAGGAAAAAATATAAATTTTAAATTCTAAAATTTATTTAATATTTTCCCGGGAAAGAATATATCGAAAATGGACTCGAGTCTCTAAAAAGGTGGCCATACAATACATCACAGCTTTGAAAATGCCCTCTTAGAGTTCATCAAACTACAACAAAGTAATGTAAAAAAATTACATTAACTACTTTTGTTTACACACGAAGATTTCTTTACAGAGTGAAGGTTCGTAGATTTTGAGGAAACAAAATGGCGGTGCAAAATCCACCAAATATTTTCCGCGGATTTGCTATTTTCTGGTTAATAGATTAGTTCTTGTCCTCCTTCTTTTTGTCATCGTCAGAGGTTGATGAGGATTGGTTTCCGGCGTTATCGGCGGCCATCTTTTTGTAGGCCATCTCGAACAACTGAAATGATATCCATACAATACACAATGTAATTGTATAATTTAAAAAGTGCTATTAATATACAACACAACTTAGTTAAAATTGTTAGTAGTGAGACGGCGGGGGGGGGGGGGGGGGGGGAGAATTGACAAAATTGAAGTAAAATATTTCTCAAAAATCCTTAATGTTAAGAGCGTCTGAAGACTTTTGTTAAAGATAGGTTTCTTTCAAGTTTAATGAAAAGAGGATGCAGATTGTAGAATGAAGATGTGTCAAAGATGTATGACCTTTAGTGTGACCAACAGTAAAATATTACATCTTAACAAACTAAATATAAATAAAGGAAAAAATCTAGACAAAGCTGGATTCCCAAGTTAGTACTGTTACAATAGTAATAAATGGTCAGCCATCATTTCGTAAGTCTCTTATAAGCAGCGTTTCGGATCCGGATCCGGTCGGATCCGTATCAGGAAACGTTGATATGGATCCGGGTAGCGCCAAAAATTAACCAAAACCATGGAATAAATAAATCAAAATGGTTCGTAAATGTATTATTTACATGTCGAAAATTACTCCAAAAAGTCTAAATTTTTTTGTTACATTTCTGAATATATAATAAATATAGTTAATAAATCATAACCTTGCATAACATTTAATAGGGAAAATCCGATTCACAGAATCAAAAGTTACCTCGGATCCGGATCCGGATCCGGATCCGTATCAGAGTCAGGATCCGGATCCATCATCACGGATGCGGATCCGCGGATCTGGATCCGCATCCGCATCAAAATGATACGGATCCGAAACACTGCTTATAAGTCAAGAAAACGAGGATCGAATGAAGAATGGATTTAAAAGATTACCTTTAGACTAGATTGTTGGAGGTCGTTGACAGCCTCCTTAATGGCCTCGGGCTCCATTGTCTCCTTGTTTGCTAGTTTCTCACGAACCTGAGCAAACAAAAAATATAAAACTTAACAAAATAAGAATAAATATCTGAACAAAATCTGAGAGTGTAACCCAAAATAAATAAACACAACAAACTTATTTTCACAACTAAAACGAGTTTGTTAATCGACTTAGCAAAGTTAATAAAAAATTAACAAACCACATTGTACTGAAAGAAATATATCTAAAAGCTTAACGAAGTACATGTCAGAAACAGTGCATAGGATCCGGGTCCTGGATCCGCCAAGAAAACTTGTATTAGGATTTACTAGTTTTTTTTAACTGAAGAAGAATATAATTTTTTTTCTGCTTATTTTCATGCTAATTCTTGATGAACATTTGGTTGATATTTTGCCCCTTCGTAGTGGATCCCTAGCACTCCACTGATCAGAAATTATGGTTTTAATTGATGAATAATCAGAGTAAGTTCAAAATTTGTAATTTAAAAAATACAATTTTAGAATTTAAAACGTTTCATCATTACCTCAGCGATCTTCTCCTTCATCTTTGAAACATCCTCGCTTGGCAGCTGATCTTTGAACTCATCCATCTTAGAGTCAGTGTCATGGAGGACACCTTCGGCCTGGTTGATGGCCTCCACACGCTCCCTGTTCACCTTGTCGGTGGCGGCGTTGGCCTCGGCCTCCTTTACCATGTTCTCGATCTCGTCCTTGCTGAGTCCTCCGGAGCTCTGGATAACGATCTGCTGTTCCTTACCGGTTCCCTTGTCCCTGGAGAACAGTAAAATTTTAAAGAAAATTTCGGTTAAAAACATATTTTCATAAAAACGGAAGCAAGGTTAGGTATTATATTATATTACTCATATATAAAGACCAAATGTAAGAACGATAAGTGTTCAGAGTAAAGAAAGTTTTACACTTTTCGCTATAAAACAAAATAAGATCCCCGAAAGAACATAAACGAATAAACTGAAGGCACATCACTACCTATATGCTGTAGAATGGAGCCCCTTCCCTCCGGGAAATTATCTTAGATATTTTACAGTGAATATAATTATGTGGGAAGAATTAAACCGAAATGTTTCTAACCTTTTTTTTTACTTTTTACCTAAAAATGTATTCAATTTCTTCAATATCTTTCCATTTCCAACAATTCGCAAATAAAACGGGGATTCATTTATCTCTGCGTTGACATCGCTAAGAATGAGGGAAAGTATTTTGATGAAAAAAAAAATCATCTTTCGGAGAGTTTATCAGCTCGAAATTTAAAAATTCCAAAAAATTTCTTAGTATCTCGCCGGTGGGTGATTACAGAGAATTTCTAATTAATTAATCAAAACTTTCTTGCTTTCTATTTATTTATTTCCAGAGATTACACTTTAATTCTCAAAGGAAGTAAACATAGAAAAGACATCTCTGTAGGATTAAGGGCCGGAGGGTAATGAAGAAGATTTGTTTGCACATTTTAATTTCATGAAATAACGAGCTTAAAGGGAGTGCTAGTGTAATTTCAAGTGAACCTACATGCAACGATGGCAATGCAAGATTTCAAACGGCATGCAACAATTAAAAATGTTGAAAATGAATGTAGGGGTTTTAATAATTTCTCCAATGATTCTTAATCAAATATGTGCTTTAGCAAAAAAACCACAAATAAACAGAGACATGGGTGTATGATTGATACTTTATAAGTCGTCCCTTTCATGAAAAAAATTAATGATTGCTATTTAACTGAACAAATCCTGAATCCCGAATGAACTAACCTGGCGTGCACGTTAACGATACCGTTAGCATCAATATCAAAAGTAACTTCGATCTGTGGAACTCCTCTTGGTGCAGGGGGGATACCAACCAACTGGAATTGTCCTAAAATATTTTTATTGTAATTTTAGAGTCTAAATAATGATAACATAACATTTATAAAATAAAATATTCATGAGGATGATTCATTAAAAACAATCGATTTAAGCATTGCTTAGATTCCGTATCAATTGGATCCGCAACATTAGCATCAAGGATCCGGATTTATATGGCAAAAGTTAAGAAACCATTGTGAAAAAACTTTGACTCTAAACCACAATTTTTTAGTCAAGGAAATTAGCAAAATAGAAATGAATCTAAAGCCCTATAAAGAAAATTGAATTGTCAGTATCAAAGAAGAAAATTCTATGTTAAAACATTAGTTAAATCCCATGTAATGACAACTCAACAATTTCAACTGCAATGAAATCTCTGGTACTTAATCACTTTTTAAGAAATTAATCTTAAGTAGCAAGGACATTTACCAATAGGCTAAATCCGTAAAAAAAAAGCCAGTGCATAATTCACTTGCTCGCATTGAGACCTATCTTCTAAGTCTGACGACAAAGATTAGTAGTTTCTGAATTAATAATCAGAAAGTTACAACCTCCGAACTAATGTTTAGCACTAACCTAGAATTTTGTTATCTCTTGCCATTTCTCGTTCTCCTTGATGAACCTTGATCTCAACCTGGGTCTGTCCATCGGCTGCAGTACTGAATACCTGCAGTACGTTTATATAATTTTCACGAAAATAAAATTTTAAGGGGAATTATAAATCCATTCAGTCAATAATGACAGTACAACTTTAACAGAACTCCCCTATAAGGGTCTATAAGTAACCCTACATGTATACGGCAAAGACGGCAATGCCCAATTCCTAACGGTAGTTCATCAATAATGTGGAAGATAATGTAGTTTTTCTAACATTAAAAATGTTTAATTCTGATAATTTCATGGTTTTCCTGCTGTAAAAGAGCGCAAGTTATTAGTTATTTACTTTTTCATACTTGATCCGACAAAGTTTTTTCAGGGTACCATTGTCAATTGGGCATTACCATCATAGCATGGAGGCAAGGTCACATGAAGTTACGTTTTCAGTCTTTTAAAGCTCTAAAGAGTTTCTTATCCTAATTGCATTAATTATTACCAACTCGAAGATCTTTAATAATTTAAGCTCAGAATTAAGCTGGATGAAAAAAAGAGGCGTTAAACGTCTGAGCTTAGGTGACTGAATTATCACATTCTTATAGATCAACCCCCCCCCCCCTTGGTATCCGATTAAATTAAATAGGGGGCCAGGAAATTTATCTAGATTTCCGTGAATATTTCAATAACTCTTACATTCCTCAAAACATAATATTCTGGAGGCAAGAGGTCTGGGAAGGGGGAAGCATTTTAGTCACTTAAAATATGTACCCTAGTCCCTAACTATAAAAAAGGAAGCTAACCTGAGATTTCTTTGTTGGGATTGTGGTATTTCTGTTAATCAGCTTGGTGAAGACTCCTCCAAGAGTCTCAATGCCGAGGGAGAGAGGGGTAACATCAAGGAGAAGAACATCAGTAACATCTCCAGCTAGTACACCACCTAATCATACAACAAGATTAAACATGAGAGAGGGGTAAAATCGAGGACGAGTACATCAGTAACATCTCCAGCTAGTACACCATAGACATGTGGTCGTTTTGAAAGAATTATATTAGAATTAATATTAATTAACATTAAGATATGTTCTGTGAATAATTAACTAAAAAATCTTTCAACTTTAAGATTCGAGTTACGTATTTTCAAATTGAAGAGGAAAACAGGGCAAGTGGAATAATTTTGATGTTAAGAATAAGAATAGTTATAAGATCTGCAAAGGAAACTCCAGACCGCCCTCAGGATGCAGTGCATCAACATGCAGCCTGTGGCCTGGAATCCATCCAGGCTTTCACACAATATCTAACGTCCGTGTGATAGTTATACATTCCCAGTGGCTGGCATACATAACAAGGTAGAAGGAATAATATTGATGTTAAATCATACCTCCTACAAGAATGACTTCTCCAATGTCAGATTTGGAACATTCGGCATCCTTCATAGCCTAAAACAAACAAATCATTCAGATATTACAAACAATAGTCATCCATTATTTTTCGACGCATTCGTACATAGTTAAAATTTCATATTTTTGATTTATTTTTGAATAATAATTTGCTCGCGCTGGATTTTCTGACATTCCTGGAAAATATGAAAATGTCGTCTTCATTATCAAAAATTATCAACTCCGATCATGAAAAATTAATAATATTATGAATTATCATCAATATTCGATTGCGTCGAAAAATTATCGATGTCTATTGATATCTGAATGATCTGGCATTGAATTAATTTTTTAATGTTGCAACTTTTTGAATTTGTATGGACGCTAAATTCTTCAGCATGAGGCGTTTTTTAACTTTTAGACGCAACAGTTAGAAGTAAGATTAGTAGCGATCAAAAGCGCTTATTTTTCGCCTTAAGTCTATAACCCCTTTCATTTTTTCGCGAACACTCTCTTTAAGAATAGTAATGTTGTATGGTTTCATGAACAATCAACCTACCTTCATGCATGGATCGACAGTCTTTTTAATGAGATCTCCGACGATCTGTTCGAACTTAGACCTGCTCAGTTTCATGTTCATGTGTTTAGGTCCTGAAAAAAATACATTTGCAAAAATATTAGAAAAACTTTAAATTCTTTGCAGTTTGCATGATCGAGTTTCCGATTTTTTTTCTTTAAGGATTGGAAAAAAAGGTTGACTTAAAATAATTATTTTCCTCGGAGAAAGCTGAATAGTGAACATATTAAATGTCCGAGTAACATTTTAATTTTCTAAATCTGGATACCTGACGCGTCCATGGTTAGGTAGGGTAGGTTAATGTCAGTTTGCATGGCAGAGGAGAGCTCAACCTTAGCTTTCTCAGCAGCCTCTCTTACTCTCTGTAGAGCCATAGCATCCTAACAAGCGGTTAGTTATTAGTAATTCAAAACAACAAGTGATAGTTAGAGGGACCATAGCGCGCGAATATATTAAGTTAAACCAAATTTTAAAAATAATTCTCACCAACCAGTGCTTAGGATCCATTTATTTTTGATACGGATCCGGATCCGCACTGGGAAAAAAATGGATCCGGATCCGGGTCATTACTTTAAGATTTACTCAATTTTTTAACAAAAAATAATTTTCAACTTATTTTTTTTTCGCATATTTTTATCCCAAATCTCTTTTTTTCAAAAGTTCAGATTTTGGTTTTAGAAGTAAAAAAGTTTTTTTCAGTTTTTGGTGGATATTTTACCCCTTGGATCCGGATCCGGATCCGGATCCGTGGATCCACATATTTTTGCGGATCCGGATCCAGGAGGCCAAAATCTTGTCACCAACATAGCAAAATTTTTGTGTAAAACAGAAACTGGCAATTTTTCCTTTGTTACTTTTTTATAAATCCCCCCCCCCCCCCCTTTCCGTTTAAACTGGGGGGGGGGGGGTTATAACTGATCAAGAGAGGGAGCTTGATTTATGAGAAAAAAACCCCGCTGCTATTTCCTAGTTCATCGCACCCTTTGAGCTTGTTTATCACCTTGGTTAGATCAATCCCCTGTTCCTTCCTGAACTCTCCGATGAGGTAAGTCAGCAGATGGTTGTCAAAATCCTCTCCGCCGAGGAATGTGTTTCCGTTCGTGGATTTCACCTCGAACACACCCTTCTGGATCTCCAGTATAGAGATATCAAAGGTACCGCCTCCAAGATCAAATACAGCGATAACCTAGTAACAACTCAATTAAATCAAATGTTATCAAATCAAAACAAACCAAAAGAAAGGAAATTAATAATATAAAATGGAATCAAGCTTCTATAGACGTGCTTCTCACCAAACTAGAAGTGATTTTGTTAAATTAAGTATGGATAAATATCTTTGAGATGGTAATGGAACAAAGTGAGTATGACCTACTTCATTTTCACTTTAAATGATCTTTGGATGGTCGCTGCCATGCTGGAATACAATTCAAGATTTCAATTAAAAGCAAAAATAACAAAAAATTGATTTAATAAAAAAATCTAATAAAAACCATAATTCAACATAGTTTGAGTTGTACAAGTCTGGGGTGCAAATTTTGAATTCTTAATAAAATTCGATATTTTAGATTTGAAGAATAAGTTCCAAGTTCAGGAAGAGAATCGAAATCAAATCGATCAAGGTTTTACCTCACCAACCCTCTTCTACTTCATGGGCGGGATATTCAGATTTTTGAGTAAAAGCGTGAATCTAGTTTTAATTTTAAGGAGCATTTTGGCAAATCCCGATTTTCATGTGAAACCGTGCATATTTTTATCTTTAATAGCCATTTTCAGGCATTCTTCATTGTTAACTTGTTTTAAAATGCACCACATTATACTCCAATTTAAAAATAGAAAAGATTGAACTGAATCTCATCGCTCCAAGAAAGGCAAAGAATAATAGTCGTTGGTCGGTCAATTGTGTAATATTTTTATTTTTTAAAAAAGAAATAGAGTTTATGAGCATATTTAGATGGGTGAAAAAATGTGTCCCACCTTATCATCAGTCTTATCCATTCCGTAGGCGAGGGCAGCAGCGGTGGGTTCGTTAATAACACGGAGAACATTTAATCCAGCAATCTGTCCAGCATCCTGTACACACACAACATCAATAATCAATTCATGCAGATCCATTAATGTAAAACGGAAAATTCGTAAAATTATTTGTTTCGTCTGAAAGAAAAATAGCGGCTAGAAAAGCACCATTCTGTGGTGAGAAAAAAGGCACCATTTAAAAACTAAAACTTTTATGTTATTATATACTAAAAAAATGATCGCGGAGCATTTAAATATATTCACTTCAGCAAAATTTAAGTTGATTTTTTCCCCCTTGTATCTTTTCAGCATAATGTCGTTGACTTGAGATAATTCAAAGTTTAAACTCTGTGAGATCAGGTAGGTTTAAAAAAAGATAATTGGATAAGAAAATTCAAGTTTTTGTTCTTTGATATACATTATTTAATTGTTAGGATTAGAAACTTAGTAAACTTCAATGTTTTTCTTTATAATAATAATAAGGGTAGATCTGAAAAGGAACTCGACATGGAACCCCTAGACCGCCGTCGGAGCGCAGCGCATTAACATGCAGCATACGGTCCGGATAGGTACAGTACAATAAATTCGCGATTTTTCGTTAAAATTTTTCGACAGCCAATTTAAATATTGCCAATTCTTTCATTTTTGATAATTCAAATTGCTCATTGTTTTCTTGATAAGACTGGAGACTACCGTTCATATTCAAACTAAAATTTAAGTAAAAAGATTTTTGCTATGAAAAATACTTCAAGGAAATAAGTAGCATATATAATGATGTGGTTTACCTTAGTGGCTTGTCTCTGAGAATCATTGAAGTATGCTGGTACAGTAATAACTGCATTCTTTACACTGGTACCTGGTACAATGCACAGTAAGAAACTAATCCAAGTCAAAAATTACAATTATGGCAGTGGTACTTTAACAAACAATAGTGAATCGACGAATCCTAATCTATCACTCACAAAATAATTCTTTTTCTTCCTTCTTTTTATGAATTTTTTTTAAAACATAAAATAATAATGACGAGCTAGATCTGAAAGTATTTGTGACTAACTGGATTTGAATCCACGTTGTTATGGATCCTTGGCACTACTGATTTAAAGACAAAAATACAGAAATATGTAGATTTACTTGAAAAATCACCCCCCCCCCCCCCATGGGGGAAGAGATTTATTTCATAAAATTAATAACCCCTGGAAAAATACAACAATGTTTAATATATTGAAGATAGATAAACTATAGGAAATGGGCTCACGTGACTGAAATTTCCGATATTGAAAGACTAATAGAATCAGCAATTTTTCATGACAAAAAATCTTTAAGAAGGACGAGTTTTAGAGAAAAACTTTTAAATAACAAATATTTATGATGTAAAATTCCAAATTCCAAATGGAAGAAAAAGAAAACAATGCGCAGGGCGAAATAAAAAAAGTTGAAGCGAAAAAAGGATGATATTAAAACAGATACAGTTTAGTAACTAAATAACTACAGACAGTTGTCTTCCTTCTTCCGTTTATACGCCACATCTATATAAATACTTTCGTTTGTCTGTCTGTTTGTTTGTCTGTCTGTTTGTTTGTCTGTCTGTTTGTTTGTCTGTATGTTTGTTTGTCTGTCTGTTTGTTTGTATCCAATGAAGGTCAAATAGGCTCAACCAATCGGGCCCATATTTGTGATGGCACTCAACCCAAGATATTCTTCAAATTTGGAAAAATCCGCAAAATATCTTTATCCGCAAAGCAGCGTTTCGGATCCGGATCCGGTCGGATCCGGATCCGTATCAGGAAACGTTGATATGGATCCGGGTAGCGCCAAAAATTAACCAAAACCATGGAATAAATAAATGAAAATGGTTCGTAAATGTATTATTTACATGACGAAAATTTTTCAAAATTATCTTTAATAATTTAATGTTTACATTTATATAATAGTAATGACGACATTTTTTAACTTTAGGATTACTCAGCGGCACCGTATCATTTGGTCGGATCCGGATCCGTATCAGAGTCAGGAGCCGGATCCATCATCACGGATGCGGATCCGCGGATCCGGATCCGCATCAAAATGATACGGATCCGAAACACTGCCGCAAAGCTTTAATTGTTATTGTTTTGTACAAAGAGCAACAACTAAAAAGGTAAAAATACCTCCTTAAAACCAAGTAAAATATTAAGAATTACCAAGGTATCCTTCAGCGGTTTCCTTCATCTTCATGAGTGTGAAAGCTCCGATCTGAGAAGGAGAATAAACTTTGCCATCAGTTGATGAAACCCATGCATCACCGTTGCTAGCCTACTCGTCGGTATTATATTTAACTCTTTAAAAAAATTGGAACCAAAATAAAAAATGAGAAAAGTTGTTTAAAAATCTAAACAAATGCTACATCCCGTTTGTAACATTTGGATCAAGTAAAGAAGCTTCTGAACGAGCCGCCCCCCCCCCTTCCTCCCTTACCGCGTCCACCAAAATTGGCCGATACCCTTTTTTCCCATCGTAAAATTTTTTCACACTTTAGTGATAAAAATCGTAACATGTTTCAAATATTTACATAGGAGCATTGATTATAGAATTTTATAATTAAGAATAAATTATTATTTCTCATTCGCATTTTTAAGCTGAATTTTTTTTAATTAAAAAGTATACTTCGCACAGAGTTAAATATATTCCTTGCAAATTTTGTAAGAAACCATCTTCATATCCTTCTGAACTTCAGGGTCATCAAATCTAGAATAAATTTGTATTTTCAGAAAAAATCATATTCATAATATGTTGAATGAAGACTTTAAAAATGATATTTTCTACTTTGACTTCCTCCTCTAAAATCTTAAAGCCACTTGGGGTGTTTTGACTAAATTTTGGTACTTTATTAATGTACATATTTATTTCTTCTCTGCATAATGCATACCTTAAATAAATAAATGGAACTGGATTAATTAAGAAAAAATTAGATGAATGACTGCCGAAAATCAGACCGTCATTATGCTCTTTAAGGCCGGGGCAGCGTGAAATAGCAATGAAGACGTATAAAAAGTTTAAATAAAAATCAAACTAAAGTTAACCTGCGACCAATGAGACGCTTAGTAGCATAAAAGGTGTTTGCAGAGTTGGTGACAGCTTGTCTCTTAGCGGGCATGCCCACCAATCTCTCGCCGTCGGAGGTAAATGCGACAACGGAGGGGGTAGTACGGGCGCCCTCAGCGTTCTCGATAACCTTATATAAAAATTAATAGGTAAGAAGTTTTCCTGACACTGCAGTTGGGAATTTATTTATGTTCACATTATGAAAAAATATAGGAATTCTAAAAAATTAAGAAAAAAAATCTTTTTTTCTTATTTCTCCAGCTAGAAACATATTCTCATTATATATCATGAAATAAGGAGCTCGTGTCCGAATTTAAAGAATTTGAGCGGCAGTTTAAATTTAAGCTGCGGCTTATAAAATATGGTTGGTTCCACTTAAAACTGTATCAAATGTTTCAAGATTTCAGCCGGCGCTTAATTTAATCCGGGTTTTGGCAGATTTAAACCGCGGCTCAAATTCTTTAAATTCCATCTCAGGTATATTAATACAAAAAATAAAACTCAAATCAGATTTTATTTTCTTAAGTAGTATGGTAAATTACAATACATTTAATTATATTATTACATACCTTAGCAGCCTTTCCTTCCATAACAGCGACACAGCTGTTAGTTGTTCCAAGATCTACACCGATAACAGCTCCTTTAACACCTACAAAAGGAAGCAGAATAAAAAAAACAATCATTTCAAAACATGGTATACAATTTATCAAGTTAAGACTTCTGAACTAAGCAACAAATTGAACATCAAATGGCTTTTCTTAAATTTTTTAATAATTTTCTTTAAATTTTTGTTAAAAAATTATTTGTTTATCGCTAAAAACCTCTAGATTTCCCTTTATCACCCCCCCCCCCCCTCTTTCATACGAAATCCTGAATTCACTTCTGTTTTCAAAATCTACCAAGATAAAGTTTTGAAATAGGAACTACAGGCGTTCAACTTTCATACATAAACGGAGAAAGCAAATTCAGAGTAATGTGAATGAGGAAGAGGTGGCCGGGGGAGGGTTCTAGAAAGCCGGGAAAAAACTGCTATGAACTGAATAATTATAACAAAAAGATCCTACCATCTGATTTGTATCTGTACTGTTGAACATCGTATTTGCTTGCTAGTAAACTAGCTTGAACCGGGCTGCATTGAGATACACCGCTTAACCTTAAAAAAATAATTAATTTTCAAATTGCTTAATTTAGTGCTTAGTTTAGCATCCATTTAAATTGATATGTTTATCATAAAAATACATTGTCACCTTTTAATTTTATCATAAAAAACCCGTTTAATCCCTAGTTAACAAGGGTAAATAATTTCATGAAAAAAAAAATAAAAATAGATATCATTTTTTAGTAAAGAAGTATCATTAAGGGGAACCCACTGATCAGCTAGATAAAACCCATTTCTCAAATTTTCCCAAAACTGGATTTTAACTTTCTTTCACTACCCCCCCCCCCCCCCCCCCCCATGAGAATTTGTCTTAAAAATATTTACCCCTTCAAAGCAGCTGAAATTAAACAATCACAAGTTATTTGAGAACTATCAGTGTTTGCATGTATAGAGGATTAGTTACGATTCACAACGGTGCCCATAATGTCTATATATAATCTACAATGTGGAAGATATCATCGAATTCCTGGCTTTTTGTTAACTCAAGATATTTAAGGATAATTCATTAGTCTCGATCAGACTGTGTTAATAAGGGTACAATACATGTGTCAATCGGGCATGCCAATATTTGACAGGAAGATCACTTACAATATCATCTCTCGCAGATTAGTAAGCCGTTCCATGAGATTCAAATTATTTATTAATATTTTTAATATTTTGTATTACTTAATTTAATAACTATTCATTACCTAGATGAGCCGGCCGCAAAAGATCTGGAAACTTGACGAGCAACAGACAACATTTTAGAAATTATTCTTCTGGATTGAAATATGTTTCAGTAAATTTGTCACTGACCAACATTTAAAAAGAACCACTTAGGGGTACGCCTATTTTGTTCCTTTCCTTAAGCCTCCATTTTAACGTCGTAACTTCATATATTTAAATTTTAATTTTAATTTTAAGGCATTATTTTCAAACTTTCTGGGTCGAGCGCTGCGGCTAGGACAGGCTAGAGGACCGAGCGCGGTATATTCCAAAAATCGTTCACTGGGACAGACCCGTAGATCCTAATCCCAACCTAACACGTGTGATACAAGAAATAAGAGATGCGCATTTAATTCACCGCGTCAGATATGGCGTAATATGACTGCGTCACATTCACAGTAAAGTTTAAATTCCGTATTCTTAAAAAATTTTACAAAATGCAAGGTATAACGTAGAAACTTATTTGAAAGTTATATGTGCGTTCTGAAATCGGAAAACATGGCCGGTCTGGCCAAATGTTACTAACAGCGTTACCAACTCCCAGGAAAGATAATTCTCTGTTAATGTTCTGTATTCAAAATTCCTTAAGTCAACTTAAAATTCCCCCACATTTCATGGTACTGTAAACACAGGGAAAGAGCGCTTTAAATGGATATCAAGTTTTAAAACTACCTAAAAATAATCTTCAATATTTTAAAAAACCTATTTGGAATAATTTCTTGACAATGATTGATCTGAATTCGATTTAAATCACGATTAAATCTGTGTCAAAAAAAATACATGACAAAAATGGTTCCAAATTTGACAATTTTTATTGTTTTCAAGCACAATTTGCAAAATATATCAAAAAGTTTTAAATTCCCCAAAAATACCCCAATTTTAATTCATTCGATCCGTGGAATTCCCCATTCCCCATTGGCGTTGAAATTCACCAGATTTCCAAAAAACGGGGAATATTTTCCCGGTTGGCAACGCTGGTCACTCTGTATTACACAAGCCACAATCCGCATGCCCAAAGCTTCGAGAACTTTCTAATTACGCATGCGCAAACCTTGAAGTTTTATAAAGAAAGAACAGCAATATTGGAATTTCATAATAAAAAAGTTAAATACACTCTCAGTTTTATCAACAAAAAATCAACATCAACAAACATGTAAAAATTATTCAGAGTTATTTAAATATCTACTACTTTGTAATATTTGAAGATGAAGTATACGAAATGTGACCCCGCCTCCCAAAATCAGCTGATTTTATACTTGGATCATATGACCGGATGTACTTTGGGATGTGTTTTGAAGAGATATTTTTTTTCTTATTTTTTTGTGTCTACCATAACCAGATATTGACATTACTCATACTATTGGTAACAACATTATATTTCTTGAATTTTTCCACTTTTTCCTTTATTTCTTTGATGCTTATTGCTTTTCGTTTCTTTTATTTCATTATCTTTTTTTATAGACTAACAGTCAGCTTTTCTGCAGGGAAACTGGGGGCATACAGTGCGTTACACGGTGTGACCAGAGGCGCAACTAGGGGGGGGGGCGGCCGGGCGCGCGCCCTCCCCTAGCACCTGAGAGGGGGGGCGCGCCCCCCC